GATCTTATGGAACACCTCTCCATAGATCTCTATTTATATGCAAGATAATTCCCTTGAACATGTGGGATATGGAAAACACAAACCTAATCTAATAGAAAACTTCCTTTTCCTATTTCTAGATTTCCTTATTGTGTTTATCCTTAACATATTAAACATCCAGCAATATGTTAAGTTTCCACAAGCTTGGAATTACCCAACAAACGCAACGTAAATGGTTGGTCAATTAACATTTTCTGTCAATTTCTCCCGTTTTACAAAAAAACATTTTTGGTCTCTTCTTCTTATAAAGTCTAACAACGACAGAAATATATACTAATAATTATCGTCAACTACAAAAGAAAAAGAAAAAGAAAATCTAATCTGCCCTCATTATCTTGCATTATATTTTTAATCTTATCTCTAAATATTGCAGATCGTACTTATTTTTGTTTGTTAAATACCCAAACCGAGATTACTAATTTCCTTGATTATACATTATTAAATTGGAGAAACAAATTAAAAAAAACTTGAAAAATAGGTGTTAGGGTAAAAAGGAGAAGCTCAAAGGAAAAAGCACAAAGCCTCCGTCACCCATTTACAGAACACTCAAAGAAGAAGAAAGATTCAAAACACATTACACATTTGTCTCAGAAAAAAACGATGGAGAGAGGAGCTACACTTTCCCCAAGCCTTAATCAAAGCTACCTACTTTCTCCTTCACGCGCCTCCACCACGCGCCTCAACTCTTTCTCCTTCACCCGGAACTCATCGCCACCGTCTTCCTCCATCAAGGTCAACTCTTTTTCCTTCCTTCTTTCTCTATTTTCATCTGACTTCCTTTGACGATTGTATTATTCACAGCTTCACAACTCTTCTTTAAGTTTCATCAATGGCGGAGTCTCCCTTACTCGGTGCAACGCCGTGCTATCAAACTCATCTTCAAGGTTTGTTTTTTGAATCATAATCAAATTTTTATTTGACTTTTTTTTGTTTTGTTATTGGTTTGATGAGATTGGTTTTTATATGTAGTAAGGATGTTACTGAAGTAGCCGACATAGATTGGGACAACATAGGGTTCGGTCTTAAGCCCACTGATTACATGTACGTTATGAAATGTAACCTTGGTGGTGAGTTCTCTAATGGTGAACTCCAACCTTTTGGGAACATTGAAGTCAGCCCTTCTGCTGGTGTACTTAACTACGGACAGGTTCAAAAGTCTTGTCCTTTTTTTTTTGTCCTTTTACTGCTGTCTTATTCTGTTTCCTAGTTTCTCAAAGTCTTTGTTAGTCAAAGAATCTTTTAGGGAGTTCAAAGGGTTTGAAAGTATGAAGAAGTTTGAGTTATGAATCTAGTCTATTGTTTCCTATGTTAGTTCTGTGTTATGGCAGAGATTGGAATTTAATCAGTATAAAAGTCTTATTTTTTGTGTTGTGTACTTCTTTTGCAACCCCTTTGGTTTGTAGGGATTGTTTGAAGGGATGAAAGCTTACAGAAAGCAAGACGGCAAGAACATCCTCCTCTTTCGTCCTGAAGAGAACGCAACACGTATGATAAGTGGTGCTGATAGGATGTGTATGCCTGCTCCAACCATTGACCAGTTTGTTGAAGCTGTGAAAGCAACTGTCTTAGCAAACAAACGTTGGGTATGTATGCAGAAGAAAGTTATTAAAGATTTTGTTGGTTGTTTATGAGTTAATATGATAAGATGTATTATTTTTTATTTTTTTTAGGTTCCACCTCCTGGTAAAGGCTCCTTGTATATTAGACCATTGCTAATGGGAACTGGAGCTGTTCTTGGTCTTGCACCTGCACCAGAATACACTTTCCTTGTCTATGTCTCTCCTGTTGGAAACTACTTCAAAGAAGGTGTGTCACCGATCAATTTGATTGTGGAAAGTGAATTTCACCGTGCGACACCTGGTGGTACAGGAGGTGTTAAAACCATTGGCAATTATGCTGCAGTAAGTAAAAGTTAAATGTTGTTAATAATATCTATTTGGACTTGGCTTATGTACTCACTTAACTTGTAATGTAGGTACTAAAAGCACAGTCTGTTGCAAAAGCCAAAGGATATTCTGATGTTTTGTACCTTGATTGCATCTACAAAAGATATCTTGAGGAGGTCTCCTCTTGCAATATCTTCATTGTTAAGGTAAAACAAAAGTCAAGTCAAGCTATTGATTCTCTTGTAAAGAAACCTTTTGACCAAATCTTTGTTGCTTGCTTACTCTCTTTGCCAGGACAATGTGGTGTCTACTCCTGAAATAAGAGGAACCATCTTACCAGGGATTACGCGAAAAAGTATAGTTGATGTTGCTCGTAGCCAAGGGCTTAAGGTAATCTCTCCTTTTCTTCCAGATTCTCACATCTTTAAAAGGGGATTCATAGTAGTTTAGCTAGCTAGTGGTCACAGAGCATGTTTATTTGGTTATCATGCAGGTGGAGGAGAGGAATGTGACAGTGGATGAGTTACTAGAAGCGGACGAGGTTTTCTGCACAGGAACCGCTGTGGTTGTTTCTCCTGTTGGAAGCATTACATACAAAGGCAAAAGGTATATAAATCTTTCTTTTTGTATCCTCATTTGAACAAAAACCAATCTATAAAGTTTGTTCTCAATACATGCGCAGAGTATCTTACGGAGGAGGTAGCTTTGGACCTGTTTCAGAGAAACTGTACACCGTTCTGACAAGCTTGCAGATGGGTCTGACTGAGGATAACATGAAGTGGACTGTGAATCTCAGTTAAAGAAAATGCAGGCAAATGCATTATTGTACCAATACGACTGCTTAGTTTTTGTTATAATTTTCATGAAATCTGCGTTTCTCATGAAACTATAAAATAAAAAAAATCTGGTCGATCTTACCGCGTACCAAACTTGTAGTTCTCCTTTGTGTTTTGAAGTCGAACATAAATAAATTACCGGTTCGTGTTTAAATGTTTTAGAACCGGTGAACCTGGTGAATCAGATCGACGTATCTGAAAAGAAATGGGTTGAAACTGTGGCGTTGGATGGCAACTCCAAGTTTCTGTGGACAGTTCTGCAGAAATCTCATCCTCTCATCGTTCCTTTGTCTCTTCGGCCCTTGTAGCTGATTCTTTGGCGGTTGAAACTGCAGTTTCTTCAAATGTCAGTAGTTTATACTGACTCCAAAACACTCATCTCTATCCTCAATTCGCAATATAAGGGAAAAATCCATCCGTAATGTGACATTTATTTGAAGAAAAAAAACAAAAAGGAATACAAAGAATGGTATTTGATCATACCAAAATTCCGTATATTAACTAAAAAGCATTGTAACATGTGAGGTATGACATGTGTTATCATTATAAAGATATCTGATTTTTTATAAAATTAAATTGGTCAATCTAAATATATAATATACTCCACATTAAATTAATCATAAAATAATTAGTAATCTACAAAAAAAATATTTCTTTCATTAAATAAAAATTACAAAATTACCTAACGTGTTTAAAATATATATAATAATTTAAAATTTTGAATAATAAAGATTTGATAACAATTTAGGTATCCTCTCTTATTTTTCTTTAGTTTTAAATTATTAAAATAAACTAAACAATTAAATTAATCATATAATAACAATATTTTTTGTATATGTTATATTTTCAATATTTTTAAAATGTTTCTAAATCATTAAAACTGTTAAAAGTTCCACTTTACAAAAATTGTGATCAAAGGTTTAAAATCTTTGTTATAACAAAATAGAAATAATCATAAAACCATATGAATAAATAGTTCATTATTTAGATTAAAATATATACCTATTTTAATATCTTTTTTAAGTTAACCTATATACCATATAAGAATAAATATATATTTTATTTTAAAAACCAAGCTATTTAAGATTAGGGGCATGGCTTGAGAGTTTATAAGAACCAAGCTAAGAAAAAGAGTTTTCACTCACTTCTGGTTTGATGATTGGTTGGAATGAAACATCTGACTTATATTACAGGTGCCATTCGTACTACGTGCCTTGGTGTCAATAGAAGGACTACAGTAAGTATAGCTGCAACTAAGAAGTAAGAAGGATGGTGCATCAGAGGTAAACACAGTAGGCCATTCCATAATTTATATAATCGTATACTTTAAGAGCCAGTTCCAGACTTAAGTCAAGGATGTGATGTTTCTTTGGAAGCATGGTGAAGACGACTATCATCAGAGTTTATCTGCTGTTAATTAAACATGGGAGAAATGCCGGTCTACCATATATGGAGAGGAATGCAAGGAGACATCATATGCAATGGACATCTACGGATCAACTCCAAAAAAAAAAGAAAAAAAAACTCCAAAAGGTCATACACCAGACAATGAGAAACATGAGTCTTTGTAATACAGAGACCTCAATATCAATACGCATGTTTATTTTATAACAAAGGTGATTTTCTACTTTGTGTATATAATCACTTTTAATTATGTAATCATCAGATCAGTGAAAAAACAAACTAGAGTTCGTGTCCGTAAGAAAAAAAACCAATATAAAAACAAGAAAACAACCTTATCAAAGAAAAAAAAAACAAGAAAACAAATATAAAAGTCTATTTTATGTGAAACAACCGCGACACACAAGGTGAAGTGTTGACTCCTCGTCGATGTGATAGTCTGCAAGGCTGTAACCATCCTCCAGTTCTCTACCAAAAAGTATGATTCTCTGGCGGTCTGGTGCAATTCCTTCCTTATCTTGAATCTTTTTCTTTAAAGTGTAAACGGTGTCTGACCTGTTGAGATTTCGATCTCCCGCAACACACACAAAGCTAGCAATAAAGGTAAGTACACAACAAGTTTTTTAACCCAGTTCTCGGCCTCAAACCGGTACGTCTGGGGAGGGATCTCTTGCCCTCAACTTCCACTATAAATCTGAGTAATACAAGCTTTGTTCTTCTCTTACAAGAACCCTAGAGAGATAGCCGCTTAATCTNAGCCGCTTAATCTTCTTCCTTACGTTACAAGACATTAGAGCTAAGTATATATATGCATCTACATATTAACCTAACGTCTTATATTATTATTGGGCTTCGACATTGTGTCTAACCCATATCTCTCTTTTTCTTCTTCTTGTAAAGCTGTAGGCCCATCTCTGGCCCAAGAGAGTTTGGCTTTGGTCTGGTCAAACTCACAATCTCCACCTTGACCATACCAAACCAGAAACTTTGTTTTCTTCGCCAAAGTCTTCGCTTGTCTTTCTCTTCTCTGATTTTGAAGCTTCTCCGGTGACACTCCACTTCGTCGCCTATCTCCGATGAGGCTCCACCTTGTCACCTACTTCCGGTGTGATTCCGACCACCGTATCTCATCCTCCGGATGATCTCCATTCGCGACAGTGACTGTCTCTGTCTCAGTCTGAATCCTAAACCCCAACAACCTTCAACGATCGACGAAGCCACGACGTCTCCGGTAAGGCTGTTCTTCAACTGGGAATTTTGATTCAATTTCTCTGCACCTCTGATGACCTTCTTGTCTCTACTGTAATTCCTGAAACAGAGCAACTTCGTGTCACCTCCCATCGCTTCAACCTTCGATTTCTATATGTTCCAAACCTGGAACCCTTGAACTTCAAGCTCTTCAAGATGGCTCTCATGGCTGAGCTCCACCATGACCGGTGACTTCTCCTGTCTACAAGTCACCTCCTCTGCTCGACATCTCTGGTAGACTACCTCCCTTCGTTTCTTCATTTTTTTTTTTTTTTTCGAATTTGAGCCTGAAAACTTCCATCTTCATCTCAGCTTTTCCACAGATGAACTCCACCATGCTCATCCTACTTCAGAAGATCTCAGGTGACTTTTCCCTGTTATTTTCTTAACCTCTTTATTCACTCTTTGGTTTGTGAAGTTTATAAGAAACCTTAACTTTGATATTCCCTTTTGCAGCTTCATTGATAAACAAGAATCTTCTTGTGCTGTCCCTTTTTATATAATCCGGTAAGCGTCTGAAAACCAGAAATAATCTTCACAGCAGCTGATTCTTATTAGCTTATGGCCCTCCTGAAGTTCTAACTTGAATATCATGATTTACTTTTCTGGATCTTCTCTGAAGCTCTTGTGAAACTCTAACTTAGTTTCTTTTATCTTTCTCAAGCTCCACCTGGAACAAGAACCAATATTCTCTGACTTGCGGTTCTTCCTGGTGATACACTCTCTTCTCCACTTGCTTGAGTTCCAAATTTCAACTTGCTAGACAACCTTGTAGAAACCAACCTGTTTCTCTGCCTTTTGTACTTCCTAGCACACACCACACTGAGAGTAACTTCAGTCTCAATTCTCTCATGCTTCTGGTGATGTTAGGTAACCTCGTTTACCTATGCAATTTCCACTCTCGACTTTTACTTCAAGTTTCAGATCAAAACAGTGCAGAGCTTAACTGTTTTTCTCTTAAACCTTCCAACAGCTCCACCTGGAATTAGTATCTTCTTACTGTGATTCCAGATGCCTACAGGTAACTCCTTAAACCCATTAATCACTCTGATTTTTTTTTTTTTTTTTCTATCGACATAAGAACACCTTTTGAAACTAAGCTGTTTCTTGTTCTCCTTCCTGCGAGAGTAACATGTCGATGATGGAGTTACCTGAAGCTGTTCCATGTTTAGACATTGAGGAGATCGCAGCCAACCTGAAATCTCTGTCCAGGTACTGCTTCACTTAGTACATCGAATGAGTTGCTTGTATGAATATTAGATAGATTAATATCTCCATTAACTCTATCTCCATAAACACACTCTCTCAATATCTTTGAGACTTTTCCCACGTCTCTAAGCTCAAGCTCGTTACTCCAACTCTCCTCCTCTTTAGCCTTCTTCCAATGCTTTCGTTTCCTGATTTTCTCAGCTTCTTCGTACACTTTAGACTCTTCAGAACCAGTCTTTTCTGCAGCAGCCAACCCGTATGCTACAGAATCAGAATCTTTAGACTTAGATTCTTCACAACTCTTTTCAAACTTGGTCTCTTCTGAACTTTCAGATTCTTCTGTTACAAAGTCTCTTCCTTGAACGAATATCTCCCTCATCTCAAAACCATGTGGAGTAGGCCCTTGAATTAGATTTTCCATGAAAGTCACTTTCTTTGACTTCTTCTTTCTAACTTCTTTACCAACTCCAGAAACGTTTTCCTTGCTTTTAGTAACACTTCCTTGGAGACAATACAAACCGTCTTTGTATTTTCCAGCTAGTACCTCTTTCTTATCTTTGTAGAACCGAACCATGAAGCCTCTTCCTTCATAATTACACCCTGCCTTTTCTAACATCCCATAGGAGATCAGATTTCTCCTCACCTCCGGCATGTATCTAACACCCGTGAGTATTACTTCAGAACCGTCTTGATTCTGAATTCTGATTTTCCCAACTCCCTTGATGTCACTCTCAGTGTTGTTAGCCATTAACACCTTGTCGCCATCAAACTCTTTGAAGTCAAATAAGACTTCTTTGTTTGGTGTGCTATGGTATGAACAGCCTGAGTCCATAATCCATTCTGAATGTGTATCTTGTTTGCTAACGGTTAACACCAATGGTTGCCTAGGCTCTGTTGCAAAATTTGCAGTCTCCCTTTGTCTCCTTTCAGGACATTCCCTTTTCCAATGTCCTTCATCTCCACATATAAAGCAGCCTTTGTTGTTCTTATCAAACTGAGGCTTTGACTGAAACCTTCCTCTGCTCTTAGATCGCCCTCTCCAATGGTTGGAACTTCCATTACCGTTTCCTGACCTCCTATCTGTCCTTCCACGTGACTCAACATAGAGACCCTCTGAGTCTGACTTGTTTCTGTTGAGTAACCCCTTTTGCTTAAGCTCCGCTTCTTTGGAATAAGCTGAAGTGACCACTTCATTAACGGTAAGTGTCTCTTTCCCTGTTCCATATTGGAGGGTGTGAACCAACGGTTCATAAGCTGCTGGAAGTCCTGACAAGAGCTGTATTGCTTGATCTTCATCTGAGATAGTAACCTTGAGACTCTCCAAGTCTGCAATTAACTTCAGAAAGATGTCTACATTTTCTTCAATTGTCTTGTCTTCTTCCATCTTGTAGCAAGAGAATTGTTTCTTTAGGTAAATCCTGTTGGGCAGTGACTTAGTTTGATAATTCCTCTCTAGTGCTTTCCACATACCCAATGCTGTGGTTTCATGCATGATTTTTCTGAGAATAGGATCACTCAAACAAGCTCCCAAGAGACTTCTTACTCTCAAATCTTTATCAGCCTTCTTCTGATCAACCTTTGGATCAGTTCCTTCTACTTCTTTTCCAGATTCTGTCAAAACCGTAAAATCTTCCTTAAGAACCGAAAGTAGACCTTGGATCTCCAGCTGTCCCAGCATCTTGAACTTCCACATCCCGAAGTCACCTTTGCCATCAAATTTCTCCATCTCAAACTTTCCTCGAGTTGGTTCCATAATTCTAACTAGCACTTCCAATCAAACCTGGATTGCTCTGATACCACTTGTTGAGATTTCGATCTCCCGCAACACACACAAAGCTAGCAATAAAGGTAAGTACACAACAAGTTTTTTAACCCAGTTCTCGGCCTCAAACCGGTACGTCTGGGGAGGGATCTCTTGCCCTCAACTTCCACTATAAATCTGAGTAATACAAGCTTTGTTCTTCTCTTACAAGAACCCTAGAGAGATAGCCGCTTAATCTNAGCCGCTTAATCTTCTTCCTTACGTTACAAGACATTAGAGCTAAGTATATATATGCATCTACATATTAACCTAACGTCTTATATTATTATTGGGCTTCGACATTGTGTCTAACCCATATCTCTCTTTTTCTTCTTCTTGTAAAGCTGTAGGCCCATCTCTGGCCCAAGAGAGTTTGGCTTTGGTCTGGTCAAACTCACATGACCTCTTCACTTCTAAGGTAATGACTTTGCCATCGAGTTTTCTCACAATGATTTGCATACTTCCTTCCAACAGGAGAATCATGTGGAGAGTATCGTCTTTTTGGATATTGTAATCAGCCACTCTACAGTCATCCTTCATAGAACGTCCATCATAGACAAGTCTCTGCTTTTCGATAGGGATACCTTCCTTATCTTGTATCTCTGCCTTGACGTTGCCAAGGGTGTCTGAGCTTTTGACACCAATGGTTATGGTCTTGTCAAGAATTTTTACGAAGATTCGCATACCTCTAAATTTGAGAACCAAGTGGAGAGTTGACTCTTTGTGGATATTGTAACTAGCCAACGTACGGTCATCCTGTAGGCTAACCCCGCCAAAAATAAGCCTCTGCTGGTAGTTAGGGTAACCTAACTTATCATGTATCTTTGCCTTGACGTTGTCAATGGTGTCCGAGCTTTTGACATCAAGGGTTAGGGCATTATTGCCTTCAAAATTATTTATGAAGATTCTCATACCTCTAAACCTGAGAATCATGTGGAGTGTTGAATTGTTTTGGATATTGTAAGCAGCCAAGGTACGGCAATCCTCAAGCATTTTTCCCTTAAAAAGAAGCCTCTGCTGGTATGTAGGGATTCCAGCCTTATCTTGTATTTTTTCTTTGATTTTGCAAGTGGTGTCTGAGCTTTCCACCTCAAGAGTTAAGGTCCTGCCTTGAAATCTCTTAATAAAGATTTGCATGGACATCTGGAAACAATAAAAAGTAAGTGCAGTTCTCGTTATCACACACAAATCAAAAGTAAGTGCAGAAAACTCCACAGATCCTAACGATCTAACAACAAAGTCTCCAAGGCAGAAAACAAATAAATATTAACAGATGATTCAGAAGTTCTAAAAACAAAATATACTTTGAGAGAAGAATTTCAGGAACGTTTGTCTGAGCTGTTAGGGTTTGTAAGATAGAAGACTTCAATACAACAGGGGATGAGGTTCCTTATATATAGGATTACTTCTTTGATCCAAAACGGGAAAATAAAAAGAAAATAAAACTTTTTGAGATAAATATGAATCGTATAAACAGTTTATTTTGAATACAAATCATACATATTGTTTTTTAACATAATCGTACAGTTTTTTTTTTAACTAGGTGTTTTGCCCGTACGCAGGCTTAATTATCTTTAAATCAAATTAAAAATTTATCAAAATAAATGATTATTTGCATCCGAAAAATTCGACCTAAAACATTAAATTTTTTTACATGATAAAATTATCCACAAATTAAAAAAAAAAATCAATTTTTTCCTTTAAAACTTTGAAAAAACTAAAGGCTATTTCATTTCTTCTTAATTGATAAAAATATAGAAATCTATCTATTAATTTGAAAAATTAAATTGATAAATATACGTTCAAAAATTGATTTTACAGAAAGAATAATATTAGTTTGGATAATAATACAATGTATTTAAATTTATTTTTGTCAAACACGTATTTTCTTTCTTTTTGAATGATCTTTTATTTTATATGATTAATTCATGTTTAATATTTAACCATATAAAATATTAATATAAATTTAATTTAACATGTGAGTTCAGAGGTGAAAAATAACTTCACAAATATATATCATTATTTTATAATATTATATTCTTTTAATTTGAAAATAATTACGTATTATTATTTTTTCAATTTTCTCTTTTGAATTATATACAATTAAAAAATTTATTTTATGAATATTTATTGATTTATGTGTTTTTTTTTTGTTTTTTTTAATTAAAATATATTTTTCCGATAACAACACAATATATATAGGAATTATCTTATTTTAAAAAAATATATATTTAGATTATGGATAATACTTATCATTATTATTAATTTAAATCATTTATCTAATCAAATAAGTATTAAATTCTTTTTTATTTTTGGCTGATTTATATATTTTATTCATTAAGGGTATAAACGATATTAACTACCTTAAATTTCTACGTGAGAGCTCCGTTGCGAAAAATCATTTCGCAAATAATAGTATAGATATTCTTTTAATTTGAAAATAGTTACGTATTATAATTTTTTCAATTTTCTCTTTTGAATTATATAAAATTAAAATTTTTATTTTATGAATATTTATTTATTTATGTGTTTTCTGTTTTGATTTTTTAAATTAAAATATATTTTTCGGATAACAACACAATATATATAGGTATTATCAACCTTTTTAAAAAATATACATATTCAGATTATGGATAATTCTTGTCATTATTATTAATTTAAATCATTTATCTGATAAAATAAGTATTAAATTCGTTTTCATTTTTGGTTGATTTATATATTTTATTCATTAAGGGTATAGACGATATTATTCACCCTAATTTTTAACGTGAAAGCTCCATTTCGAAAAATCAATTCGTAAATAATAGTACAGATTTTTAATTATATTACAGACATGTAGTCTAACTAATTTATACAAAAACATTCTACAATACTTCAATATATTATATACTTCTAAATAAATAATATTTTAATTTAAAAAATTTAGCACTATGTATCATACTTGAATTTATAAAAACTAAATATTTTTACAATTTTCATTTCATCAAATTATTAAAATATATTTTAGATATTTTTGTTTTTTTTTAAATAATAAAAACTTATTTTTTAACAAATAATATCTCACTCTGTTATTACCTAGTCATATATTACTAAACAAATCACTGTGCTCTAAAAAGAAAATAGAATAAATGTTAAAATACTTTTTTACAAATTTTTTTATGGCAACAAGTCACATAGTTGGCGTTTTCTTAATGAGTTGCATAGTTTAAGGTTTCTCGTGCTCCCTTATCTTCAGGTTCTATGCAAGCAGTTGTGACAGTAATTTGATTCCGGGTTTCACTTCGTTGCCATGGTCGGATGACTAATCCACTGATTAGATCCTTCTCTTTGTTATTAAGGTTGTGTTGTTCCTCCTTTTTAGAGGTTTCTTTATTTCTTATTGGCTTTGTTTCCCACGAAACGTTCGGGTTAAGTTTCGGATGTATTGGGCTCTATAAAGTTTTTACTATGTTTGAAATCAACCAGCCATAATTTCTGTATAGCTAGGTTTGGCGTAGACCTAGTTTTTCTTTTAGTTCTTTCATAAGTGATCGTTAGATTCGAGCCCCTCAGAAAAGTGGGATTTAGAAGATGTCATGATTATCTCATGACTACGAGATTATACGTCTCTATGAACTAATATCAGATTAGTGATAGGCCTATTCAAAACCGAGATAGAGAGGCATGTTTTTCATGGGAACAACCTTTAACCTTTAGAGTACTTTCTTCCAAAGGACTTATTATTATTGGTACCTAAAAGTAGCCAAAGGACTAAATCATCGAAGAGAAAATATATGCTTTCTGAAAAATACTCGAAACTCTTTGTTTATTATTTTAAATTTCTTCCAGTTTTTCATATTAAGTTTTTTTTTTATTAACCTGGAGGTATCCTAGACTCACGGACAAATATAGACTAATTCTCAAAGAAAGATGAAACCCACGGATAAACCTACTCTCAAGATATTCCTATTAGTTTTGAACCTATAACAAATGTATTTCTCTTTGAGCGACTAATATGTGTGTCTAATGAAAATTTTCTCTTGTATTCGACCAGTAAAATGAACAAATCAATTGATTATCTTCTACTTTTTCACAAAATTTAAATAGTTTAGTCATGTACACACACAAAACTTTATATAGGTAATAGGCTTGTTAGTATAAAAGATTCTTACGTGCTACATTATATATAGCTCGTCATAAATATCCACCATGACTCGATAAGTATTGGTACTTTTATGACTGTTTTATATTAGTAAAATTAAAAAAGAAGATGAGATGGCTATGCTTCAAGACCAATTCCTACCAATGGTGTTGAAATCTCTGATCAACAAACATTATTTTCCTTTGTTTAACCTTTAGCTTCAAAGTTCAAAAGTTTATTTACCTTTTCAAAATCTTTTTTTATATATTCATATAAACAGTGTGAAAGAACTCAATAATTAGAATCGTTCATGACTTTATTTCTCCATGTACTTTGACTTTTGGAACCTTTATTTCCTATTCACAACTCAAGTCAACCTTTTTGTTCGTCTAGAAGCGTTATGACAGCGCGTTTCTTTCTACTATATACAATGAAAACTATATAAATTAATAATCGATAAATTAATATACATTAAATATCTCTACAAAATAATATAATTTTATAGTTCTAAATTGAATTTTTGGTTCGATTAATATATCGATAGATTAATATATCTATAAATTAATAAAAAAATAAAATTTTGATGTATTCCCAACATTATTAATTTATAAAGATTTCACTATACTCAATTTTGATCGGTCTATAAAAATTACATATGCTGACAGAGCTTAATCAAATATGATTTTCCTAATATTGATTTTTACTCCGAAACCTTGTAACACTCCTTGTAAGTACAAAGAAAAAAAGAAGAATATACTCCACCATTTTAAATAAGTTTTAGGAGAAAATGCAAAAGTTATAATAGTATTTTTACAATCAAATTAGTCAGTAAGTAAAAATAAATTGATAACCAGATTCATTGGTTACCAGAGATTTTCCTTCATGGAAATATAGATAACGAATAAAAGCTAGAGCCATCCCATGATCAATCACTTTTCCTGGTTGCCGTGTTTGTTTTTTTTTCCTCTCAAAAAGTCCAGATTATTGTGATTTACGTCAATTTTTGTTACTTTATAATTATACTGGCGTTTATTAAATCACTAGTCTACCGGATCCTGGGTAAAATTTCTTCAGTTTGGCAATTTGGCTCACCTACCATAACGAATTTTTACTCTTATATTTAGTAATAATTGTTTGGTACATATAACATATCCTTTCATTTTTAGATGCAAGCATGTATTTTTATCAGTTAGAAAATCCTATACATAATATAAGTCGGGTACCAATGCGAACACTAATTAACTTATCAATTGTAGGTAATTTAGTGGTCTAAATAGTGATTTCAGTCAAAACGATTGTGCAATGCACCCTATTTTGAACTTTGCTTAGGAGATATGGTACATAATTAGCGAGAGGTTGGTTCATCAAAAATGGCAGAGAAGATTATAAAGACTACTATATCTAAAGCAATTTATCTATGTTTCTTCTTAACGACATTTAATGTTGGATTTAAACGATTTTTTAGTTTCCAAAAAGTAACTTTCTGATCTTTTAATTAAAAGTTTTCTGCTTTTTGACATATTTTCTTACTAGACTTTTTGACTTCTTCCATGGCATGACAAAACTATCTTCTCCAGCTATTATATAGTCTCCTTATTTTCTTTTATGCTTTCACATAATATTTCCCCTATAATCATCACACACATATCCATACCATCATTCCAACCATCATAAATAATTTTGATTACAAGAAATAATAGCGCCAGATTTCAAGGACAAGACCAATATCAAGAAAGCAAAAATTAAAGACTTCTCACAAGGAGAGGTGAAGAATGGGAAGAGCACCGTGTTGTGACAAGGCGAACGTGAAGAAAGGGCCTTGGTCTCCAGAGGAAGATGCAAAGCTCAAATCATACATCGAAACTAGTGGTACTGGAGGAAATTGGATTGCTTTGCCTCATAAGATTGGTATTCTAATTACCTTTTTATTCCTATTTGAAGTGGCAACAGTAGTCGATTATATTTATATCATTATGATTATATCTTTCTGATCTTTATTGCTCTCTCTGAAGAAGATTAATTGAATATTGTTTCTTGGTTGAGACATGGTTTCAGGTTTGAAGAGATGTGGGAAGAGTTGTAGGCTGAGGTGGCTTAATTATCTGAGACCAAACATCAAACATGGTGGCTTCTCTGAAGAAGAAGAAAACATCATTTGTAACCTCTATCTTACTATTGGTAGCAGGTACTATTCATATATATACATTATTATTTCATATATATCAAATAACATGTGAAAGCTCTTAAGTAGTTATATAATGAATGAATTTAATAAAGGTGGTCTATAATCGCTGCTCAATTGCCGGGACGAACAGACAACGATATAAAGAACTATTGGAACACAAGACTCAAGAAGAAGCTTATAATTAAACAACGCAAGGAGCTTCAAGAAGCTTGTATGGAGCAACAAGAGATGATGGTGATGATGAAGAGACAACAAATCCAAACAACTCTGATGAGACAAGACCAAACCATGTTCACATGGCCACTTCAGCATCAAGTACCAAATCTTGCCATGAACTCATTCTTTGACCAGGAAGATATTAAGCCAGTGATCAACAAGAACATGGCCAAGATCAAAGATCAAGAACTGGAGAGAACAAACGCTTTTGACCATTTCTCCTTCTCTCAACTTTTGTTAGATCCTAATAATTATCACTCAGGATCAGGAGAAGGTTTCTCCATGAACTCGATCTTGAGTACCGACACAAACTCCCCATTGCGTAACACTAGTATCAATCATCAATGGTTCGGGAATGTCCATGACGAAGCCATCGATTTGTGTGCAGGAGCAACAAGTACTTCGGCAGATCAAGGCACGATAAGGTGGGAGGATATAAGCGCTCTTGTTTGTTCTGATTCAAAGCAATGTTGTTGATTAATTATTCCCAAGATGAAAGGTACATCAATATATTAATTAGGATAGTACAAGGGTATGGTACGTATACGGAATGAGAAGGACTATCAATATATATTGTATGAATCTTTTTTTTTTTTTTTTTTTTTTTGAAACACAAACATTCATTACTCAACCATAATGTTAGGTGGCATTAAAGCCATACAAATTTTGCTTAGAAGCAAGACTATGCTTTGCCAACAGATCAGCTTCTCTGTTTCTCTCCCGAGGGATCCAAAGAAAAGATACATAATCAAAATCACAGATAAGCGCATTGATATCTGCAACGATGCCGTAGAGCTCCATATTCATGACTTTCGTCTTCATCGCCTGGATCAGTTGTGCGGAGTCGGATTCACACCTAATCTGTCTATGATTCAGCTCTTTGCACTTTTGTATTGCTGCTTTCATGGCTAGGCCTTCAGCAATCAGGGGGGACTTAACAAATTCGGATGAAGAAGCGAACTGATACGTCTTGTTCTCGCTGCATATCGTCCAACCTAATCCTGCGAGCAGAGTCTCAGCATTCCACGCCGCATCAGACCGGACCAGGATACCTCCGGGGGGTATGGGCTCCATCCTAGTCTTTACTCGTTTTATGCTTGTTTCCTTCAGTTGATTCACATTCCATTCTCTGGCTGCAATAATGGCTTTATACAGCGTCTCCTCTGGAGTGGCGAACTTGTTGTTGAAATAAACATTATTTCTCGCGATCCATATATGCCACAAGATCCACGGAGATAGTTGCTGCGAGGTCAATCCTATTGGAGGTAGGACAACTTGTCTGCATATGGTTCCCCAGCTCTCCTTTAAATCTACTACTCCTCTTGATTCAAAGGTTCCTCCAACAGGGAGATGATTCCAAATCTGTTGTGCGAAGGGGCATTGAAATAAAAGATGAGTAGTAGATTCAGGGATTCCGCACCTTTTGCATCGGTGGTCAACTGCAATATTTCTTGCTGTCAAGTTCGTTCCTACAGGTAAGGAGTTTTTGCAGGTTTTCCAGAGGAACATTTTTATCTTTGGAGCTGTAGGCAACTTCCAAATCTGTTTGTTCCAGTCGAAAATTGTTTCAGGTTCAGCTTGAAGGTCTTCAGGGATTTGAGTTCGACTTTTTAGTGCGGCATAGTATCCCGATTTAGTCGTATAAACTCCTGTCTCAGTGCCAAGCCAAATTAATTTATCAGGAGCCCCCAATAAACTAGGCTTAATTTGTAGGATTTTCCTTTCTTCTAACGGGCAGATAAGCTGAATCTTTTGTCTATCCCATTCCAGGGTATTAGGGATCATGAGGTCAGACACTCTCATTTCTGCAGTTGCTTCCGTTGGAGGTCCCATTGGGCATTCTTGCTGATCCAGACTCAGCCAAGGAGTTGCCCAGATGTTTATTGACTTACCATCACCGACCACCCAGCCAAGGTTCTTGACTAATAAGTCCCTGCCTATGAGCACGCCACGCCATCCGTGCGACATAGATGAGCGATCACCACATGTTAGAAAGTCCTCATCCTTACAATATTTGCCCAGTAAAACCCGTCCCAGTAGACTGTCGGGATTGTGCATGATGCGCCAGCTGAGTTTTGCGAGAAAAGCATCATTGAAGCATTGAAAATCTCTTAGCCCTAGTCCTCCTTGCTCTGTGGGGAGCGCCATATTTGACCACGACACCCACGCCATTTTCCTATTACCTTCTCTATCATCCCACCAAAATCTTGTCAAAGCTGATTGGATTCTTTGACATAAAGAGGTGGGCAACTTGAAACATGTCATGGCATGAGAAGGCATCGCTGACAACACACTCCTCAGCATAACCAACTTCCCCGCTGTGGACAAGAACTTTGTTGTCCATCCTTTAGCCTTTTGTTGGATCTTATCTACTATTGAAGCAAATAAGTCCTTTTTCTTTCTTCCAAAATGCTCCGGCAGTCCTAGGTACTTACCAACACCACCTTCTTTCTCAATTTTAAGTTCCCCTTTCACTAACCTCTTCAGCGCCAATGGCGTTTTTCGTGAGAATGTTATCGCCGATTTATCAGGATTAATCATTTGGCCCGATGCTTCACCATATTGCTGTAGAATACCCGAAAGGGCCGAACAGCAGTCCTTGCTTGCTCTCATGAAGAACATCGTATCGTCAGCAAAAAGAAGATGGTTAACATGGGGACACCCCCGAGCTACCTGAATCCCAACCAGCGAACCATCTGCTTGCGCTCTCCTGCACAGCCCCGAGAGGACCTCACTACACATGATGAATATGTATGGTGAGAGAGGGTCTCCTTGACGGATACCTCTACTCGGTTTCACACTTCCTCTAGGCGAACCGTTGATGAGGAAGGAGTAGGTGACAGTTGAGACACATTGCATGATCAGATTTATCCATTTGGGATGGAAGCCGAGTCTTTGCATCACTGCTCGAATGAAGTCCCATTCAAGTCGGTCATATGCTTTACTCATATCCGTCTTGACGGCCATTGAGCATCTAACTTCAGCATCAGATGTTTTTAGGAAATGTAGTACTTCATGAGTGATAAGCACATTATCTGATATTGCTCTTCCCGGGACAAAGGCGGACTGATTTTCCGAGATTATCGCTGAGAGTAGAGGCTGAAGTCTTCTTGTCATTATCTTCGAGATGATTTTGTAATACACGTTACAAAGCGCAATGGGGCGATAGTCACCAACAGTTTGCGGGCTTTGAATCTTAGGAATTAATCTGATATGTGTCTCATTAATCCTTGCAGGTAGTCTCTCAGATTCAAAGCACTCTTGTATTTCCGAAACAATTTCCCCTCCTATTTCCTCCCAATTTGATTGGAAGAAACTTGCAGAAAATCCGTCCGGTCCGGGTGCCTTATCAGCATGGATGGAGAAGATTGCATCTCTGATCTCATGTGGTGATGGTATTCTAATCAACGTTTCATTCTCCGCTTCAGTAATGATCGGGTTCAAAGCTTGGTCGACAATGTCGTCCCGGCAGCCTCCCGATGACGTAAACATGTTATCAAAATACTTGGTGATCACCCTGCCAATCTCATGTTCTTTAAAAACCGCTTTTCCATCCATATCTTCAATTACTGAGAATGAATTGGCTCGTCTCCTATTCTTTGTAGCTGCGTGGAAGAAACCAGTGTTCCTATCGCCCAGTCGGAGCCACATCAATCTGCTTCGTTGTTTCCAATAACTCTCTTCTGCTGCATAAGCCTCCTTCAATTCCGTTGAGATTCTTCCAATCAGTTCCGTGTCATTTACCATACTGGTAAGTGCTGCATCCAGCTCCACTTTTTTCTCCTCAATGATAATTCTGCTGTTACGGTGTTGATTTTTGTTCCACTCAGATATGGTCTGTCTCATGAGGATAATACGTTCTCGAACTGATTTATTTGCTGCCTCTTTCCAGACTTTGCTAACCAATCTCTTGACTTCCTCATTGTCTTTCAGTCTCCGATCATAGCGGAAAAGTCCTCGCCGTTTTTGTCTTACATACTCGAACTGGTTAACAGAGGTTTGTGATCAGAAGCTTCGTAGGCTAAGTAGTGACTCCTAGCGGTTGGGAACATCTCAGCCCAAGCTGCATTTGCAGCTGCTCTATCTAACCGACATCTAACCAGATAATCACCTCGGTTTCCTCTCCATGAAAGTGGATCTCCAGAGTGATGTAGGTCGTACAAGTCTCCCTCAGAGTAGAAAGTGCGGAGATCATTGAAAGAACCTTCGGACCGCTCTGTTCCTCCGACCTTTTCGGAATTGTCAAGTAAGTCATTGAAATCCCCTGTTATAAACCATGGAGCATCTCTGATATTTGCATTATCCACCAAATAGTTCCATTGCAAATTTCTTTTTGGTTTATCAATATCTCCATACACGAAAGAAGCAAAAAAGGATTTTCCTTGGAATTCGATACAAGTGTCTATCAGATTTGCCGATGAGCTTAACACTTGCACTTTTGTTTTCTGATTCCAGAAAAGCGCGAGCCCTCCTGCACCATGCCCTGTTGGCGGGATTAGTAAATGATGCTCATAGTTCAGTTGTTCAGTCTTCTTTAACACGAAGCTATCTTGGTTCTTCGTCTCCATGAGGAATAGAATATCGGGATGAACATTACGCTTCAAATCCCGTAGTCGTTGAACTGTCCAAGGGTTCCCCATCCCCTGGCAGTTCCAGCTCAAAATATTTAAGGAAGAGGAAGAGGGGGATCCCGAAAATCCACCCTTTTCTTTGACGCTTTTGGTATCATGTTTCGCAGTGGGACATTTTCAGAGCTATGAGACTTCTCTGTGTTATTTGAAGACCCTCTCGAAGTGCTTGGTTTACTCTTAGTTCGTTTTTGTACGTCTGGTGTCTTCCCCACGTTAGCTCCCAAATTTCGCCTGCAAACAGGAGGCTTGGCATTTTGTACTTTACGCTTTCTTGAACTTGTTCCAGCTAAAGTCTTTGGGCTACTCGAAATCTTTTTGTTACCCGGTGGCCTTCCTGGTTTTCTTTTCAGGATTGGTAAGTCCTCCATCTCCTCTGAAGGGTTAGCGTTCAAAGGTCCCAGTCTTAGTACTGCTGGTATTCGCTCTGTCGGGCTTGGACTAACTTCTCTGTTTACAGCAACCGGAGACGGAGTCCGGAGAGGTAAGGCAGCTCTAACCATTCCAGCAGCTGTTTGCTCAAGTTCGCCTTTCTCCTCTGCCTGTTTCAGCCATTCAAGTCTAGCCGCACTCTCTGTTGGGTCTGCACATTTGGTGTATTGTGTCATAGCTTCTCTGACCTCTCCTATAGCTTCTGCTAAAGCATTTTGATCTAGGTCATGTTGATCCCTCTGAAGGGGATTCCCCCTTACAGTAGGGCTTAATAAAGCTTTTGATGAGGAAGATTCCTCCCTTTGGCTCTCCTTTCTACGAGGAGAATACGCAGGTCTGCTATCAAGGTTGTGTTGCTCATCCGAGCTTCTTGCATTCTGTCTAGCACTGGGTTCCAGCCTTCTAACCTCTCGATAGACTTTGTTCCGTGAGGAGTTACCATAAGTATCTCGTTTCTGGTAAGGATGATACCTTGAGGAATTCTCCAAATGTCTTCCTCTGTCTCTCCAGGACCCTCTACCTTCTCCATTGTTAGAATAGGTTTGATCGTATTTCCTATGTTCCTTGGAGTGGTATGAGTTTTGATTATGCTCATAGCTTGCATTTCTGCTAGGGGCGTCCTTTCTGGCCTCTCTAGCCTGTGATCCAGATGATCGAATCTCCATTGGTTGCAAATGAGAGTCCTCATGCTGCTTCTTCTCATTGTAACGGTTTCCACTTATTGCTCCATCTTGCGCAACTGTTAGTGCTTTAGACTCCGCACGTGCCACCAGACACTCTTTTAATTCATGATCCAGCCTGAAGCACTTCGTGCAATGCTTATCGAGCCTCTCGTACAGCAGTGTGGTAACAACCTCATCACCATTAGGGAATTCAACAACAGAGCTTTTGATCAGAGGCAACAGCCCGTCTATGTGAACTCTCATCCTTGCAGAGGTAGCTGTAATTTCAGCTTTTTCAAAGAGCCCAATATCTTTCCCGATGCATTCGATGGTGGCTTCTGTCCATAAATGAACCGGCAGTCCCTGAACCTTGATCCAGAAAGGGATCAAAGACGGGAAGGAAGGTGAAATTGTAGGTTCCCATCTTTGTATGATGACCATCCACCTTGCGTAATGGTATGGGCGCTGCTCTAATACGGAGAGAAGGTCAGATTCGATATCAAACTGAAATTGGAACATTCCATTTCCCAGGTCTGCTCCCACTGGTTTGAACTCCGTTTTCCAATGTTCTGTGAAGAATGGTATCAGAGACCATACTTTTTGAACTGATTTGTTGGTGACTCTTCCGATGAGAGTGAGGTGGTGCTTGCGAATGAGGTCTGAGTTATCTGGGAGAGGGGCCTTCACTCGAGCAGCACGAGAAGGTTGTTGAGAGCTCAAGTCCATACCTTTTCCTTTCTCAGCAGAGGAAATTCTTCTGTGAGCCATAGCAAATCTGGTTCACTTTGAGATGACTCTATCTCTGTTTTATCTTCAAAAGATTAAGCTATCAAATCGTCCAAAGGAGTCCCTTTAGATCTTATCAAATACGTCAACAGAACTTGGGTAAAGATTGAGGATTGCAAAACGAAAACGAAAACCAGGATTCCCCGGCAACAGATCTAGCTTTGTTGCAGTCTTCAGCTTTTGCTATTTTTAGTTCCTATCATCCCTTCGCCTTGAAATCTGACAGCAGGAAGCTTGCTTGTCATTGCTACGGGTGGAGGTGGTGCTCCGGCGGTCCCTCCGACTCAAGTCGGGGGAAGAACCCGGTGTGTAAATTCCAAGAACGTGGTTCGGACCGTAGAATACTTCCAAGAAGGGGAATAATTCAAAATAAACAGTCTTGTGACTAACGGGTAATAGCAGAAGCGGGAAGAATTAGTCTTGTGACTAGCGGTTGATAACTTCTCTCGGTAACAGTGGCAGGGAGAGAATTTTTTCACACTTTTGTAAGTCTCATAGATTTTGTTGAGGGCTAAAACAATATGGATCTGAAACTTTAATGTTGATATCGAACTCATATAATGTTAGACAATACTAAAAACAGATCCTAACGAACTAATCGCAATTAGATAGACGAAGTTTTTTAATTCTTATCATTTTCTTTAACAAGAATTGTAATGTGCATGTAATATGTTGCATAGTGCGTTACGTAGGGAAGAGTATAATTGGACATGTTTTATGTTGATGTCTATATCTAATGACAATGTTTAATTAAATACTACCTTGAATTACAACATAGTGATTTGTGCTAGTGACGTTGTGTGGTTCATATCTAATGACAATGTTTACACATATACACATACTAAGGGAAATATATCTAACATTTGGGTTCATGGCACGACATATGGTCCGATTCATTGATTTGTTGATCATATATAAATAATACTCCGTCTGTTTAAAAAAAAAAGTATGTTTAAGAATTTTCATGATTATTAGGAAAACATATAAAAATTAAGTTAACAATACATTATTTTGTAATTAACTATTTTCAAAACATTTAACCAGTAGATTTTAATATACACAATTATATTTTTCAAGTTTATAATGTATTAATGGTTAGAAAATATAAAAAAAAAATGTATTTTTTTAAAAGGATTTTTTACTGAAACATAGAGCTTTTCCAAGCAGAAGGAGTGTATATATATCTAAATTATATTTACAAGTATAATGCTTGTTTAGTTAGAATCTCACCCCCCCCCCCCCAGTTGAAAGATTTTAATAAATACAATTATATTTTCATAGAGTTGTTGAAAGATTTTAATAAACACAATTATATTTTCCACGTTTACAATTTACCATTACTTAATGCATTAAAATGTAAAAATGTATTTTTTTAAAGGAAAATTATTTCTGAAACATATAGCTTTTCGTTACAGAAGGAGTATATTTTAAATTCTATTTACACGTATAATGTATACGAGTATAATGTTTGTTTGTTTCGGAACAGAAGATGTATATTTTCGCTAGGGTTATTACGTGGAAGTCGAATTGTGCAAATCCAATTTAGCTGGCAACCATTAGGATTAATAAGAAGAAGAATAAATGTTTATGGATTTGTGAGGATAATATTACCTAACATTTTGACCAAAAAAGGTTTTGATTACCGAATAAAGAGTTGTGCAATTCTCAACTTCTCAAATACATGACACATCTCTCCTAAGTCACTAGTCTGTTTCTTGTTTCCTCGCAGAAACAAACGATGTCATACGAAACTTATGCTGTTCCCTTATAACGTTGGCCTATTCAAATACCAAATCAAATGAGAAAGTCATATATAATAATTGACACTGTCGCTTGGAAATTAGTATTTATTAAAACTAGAATTTGCCGCGTGTAATTTCTCACAAAACATTTGAAATTAATAGATAGTCCTAATTTCTATACGTGCCTTCTAAAGCAAGCACCATATCAGCCACACGTACGAGGCAAATAGTGAGAATCTGGAAACAGCTCTTTGAACTTCTGATGTGCTAGAATAGTCACCTGCTAAATGAGAAAACTCACTTCTTTAGCTGTACATAATGCAAAAGAAGGTATGACGCCAAGGTAAAGCCAATCACCGGTCATAGCCACTGAACAGCACTCTAGGCAGTTCTTAATTATTTCTAAAATAAATGTCTTGTTTCTAGCTTTTTTAGTTAATTGTATTTGAATTCTATTACAAAATAAATAAATAAATAAATAAACCAAATGATTAAAAACAGGCAAAACAATGTATTTAACAAATCTGTCATTTTTGGCTAAGCATTGACTGGAATTTTCTTGTTAATCCAATCCAAACTTTGGAGGAAATTGCTACTTGGTCCAATGCTTATTTTAAGAAACATTTTGTTAGTGAATAATAGATATATAATTTGGAATTTGGGATACAAGGAAGGGACAACATCCACAGTAATATTTGGAGGGAAAAAAAAACACTTTCTTCATTGGCTGAAAACCGAGACTAGTACTAACTGTGTCCATGGGTGCTATAACATCTTCAGCCAAGAAGAAGGATCATATTTTTCTTCGGACTAGACCTTTGAAAAAGTCGAAACTGTAGTTGAACACACAACACTACGTATTAGCTTTAACATGTAAATATAATAATGTTATCAATCCATTTAATTGATTCAACTTTCAAAAATATTACCTATTGCCATCAGGGTGAAGCTCACACATTTGATAATCATCTCCAATAGCTAGCAGATATCCTGAAGATGTCAAACCCTAGAGAGATGTACAGAGAATTAAACCAAGCACCATATCACAATAACTAGAATTGTATATAAACAGTTCTCCATAAGACTCCTCTCTTACCTGGATAGTCACAACGTTTTGAACAACTTGGTCCCCGATTTTATCTTCAACGATCACTCTTTGCCCGCTACACATATGAGAATACTGAACGTATTAAGAAATCTGGTTTACAGCCACAAGTGAATAAAACTATGTGTATGTATCAACAAAACAGAAACATTTAGTTATTGGTAAGTAATAATGTCTTGTTCTTATCTTCAAGAGCTTTTAGTTTATTGCGACATTGAATATTCAAATAATAAAAGGTGTTTTTAGCCAAGCAAACGTGCTAGTGGACGAGGTTTAGCCATTTAGTTCAGAAAGTGACATATGGAATACACCAACACTTAAAAAAAAAAACAGTTTTCAAACTCAGATAACACAAACCCTTCAATGACATAAGATAAACAGTTACCTGTGAAGCCATGTCCTGTAGTAAAGCTCCTCGAGAGATTTAAAACCTGTAAAATGAAGTGCAATGACAACATGAGGCTCAAGACTTGATTACAAGATTATCAGTTCATTTACTTTCCTATCATCTCAAAAAAAAGAATCTAACAAATATTGTTTCTGGGGATACAGGAAAACAGACAAAAAAGCAGCTGACTGAATCATTAAGCAGTAGAAGTTTGTTTAACATTACCTTGGTCTATGAATAGATCAAAGAATTTCTCGAATTTATCAAAGAAGGCACCAACAATTTCTTCTCTTTTAAGTAGAATTGATGCAGGAGATATGTCTTTAAGTACTGCATTTAAGCACGTGGTCGGTTGATCGTTGTCCACATTCAATCCCACACCTGCAAAAAATAATAATCAGTTTTGCCATTTTCTCGAAACAAGTCAACGCAACTTGTAAAAAGAAAGAGTAATAATGCGTATATTACCAACACTAACGTGAAATTTCCTAGATCTGTATGTAGAGGTACACAAAATTCCTCCGACTTTAAGGCCATTCAAGTAAAGATCATTCGGCCATTTTATTTTAAGGTCGATATATGGCAAACCCTGAAAATTGATAGCAGCAAAAAAAGTTAGAGCCTTTTCGTTTTCTGATGCAAACGGAAGCAAGAGATATATACCTTGTTGTCACAAACATCTTTGACAGCTTCAGTAATGGCAAGAGATACAATATATTGAATCAAAGGCACGATTCGACCATCTTCCATTTCAACGGTAAAAGAATACATCAGACAACCCTTTGGTGATTCCCACACATTCTTTGTTCTTCCTGCCATCATGTTCGTAAATTCAGGTTCCATCTTTTTATTCTACTTGCTTAATAGACAGCTAAACTCTTACCTCTACCCTTAAACTGAATATCAGTGACACAAACTGAACCAACCGGGAGCTCAGAAAAGTTACTGAAAGAATAAAAAAATCAGATTTAAAAGTTAAAACTTTAAAAGAAAGGTTAAAACTTTAGATCAAACCTTTGAAGAAAGGTAAAACCTTTGAAGAAAGGTAAAACCTTTTAAAGAAGAAACCAAAAAAACAGAGAGAGAGATGCTTACTGAGAAACAACATCGTGAGTGGAAGACAAGCGGGGAGACCAAATGAGAAACCGACCAAACCGAGCAGTTGAAATGGAGTTCATGAAGAGTGAAAGATTAAATGAATCACAATCATCTTTAACCAAATTCTCCATCTCAGAATGTAAAAGGAGTGAGAGTTGAGTATCATCTGGGAGCTTAAGCAAGTTATTGTTCTTCAAACGCTTTGCTACATCATCCTCAACAGAGGACTTCCCACATAAAACCAACACACACGAATCCATTGCTAAAATCAAAACAATAACGAATTAAAGTTAAGCCAATTAGAATCGAAAAAAGAAAGAATAGCTTCGCGGGATCGAACCTGTGGCAGCGACGGAGAAAGACAGAGGCCTTAAAGAGATTAAAGGCGACAACTTTTGCATATATAAAGTAGAAGGAAATAAGTCTCAATAAGCGTAAAAGAGAAGGACTAAATAATAATCCTGGAGAAATCTAGAAGAAGAAGAAGAAGAAATCAATGTACCTCCTTGGATCAAATATTACGTAGAAAGAAAGAGGGACGGAGAAAACAATTGAGTGAGAGTACAAACAAGACTGAGAAAACGACAACAAAGTTCGCTTATCTACCTATAGGATATAATTGTTCAAAAACGCGGCCGAGTTGGCCGATTTCTCGCCGGTTAAACGCAAATCGGTGGTGCTCCGCCGCGACTTTGTGTTATTCGGGCCAAAACTCGGATTTGAAAAAAAAGTGTACATGTTTTGGTGTTTTGAGGTTCGAAATCGAATTTTTCAACATAGATCTATCATATTTCTTGTTAATAATCAATAATCGAAGTACATCGTCAAAGAAAAAGATGATTTATGTTAAAAACAAAAAAAAACGGCTGTGATTAGGGTTGGAGAAGAAACAGGTCGGGAGGAAGAAGATGTAATGAAAATTACGATTATGCCCTTCTGTAAATGAAGTGAAAAAAAAGAAAAAACAATGCTACTTGGGCTTCGAACCCAAAGAAAGGGACACTTCTTCGACTATCTACTTATTGTAACCACTGGGCTACAATAACAAACTTGTTAGTGTACCCGAAAACATTATGATAATTATTTCGGCAGAACTAGATTAACCAAAGCTAAAACATAATGCATAACATTAATACAAATAATTGGGCATGAAACTTATTTTTTTTATACAGAAATATATATTATACAAAAAAGTTTTTATCATACGTATAAATAAGATATTATACGTATAAAAATACAAAAATTCCTCCGCGCGTACTCCCCGATTTTTTTCCGATTTTTCAATAAATCGCTAGGCGCCGGTGCACCGCACGCGTAGCGCCTAACGAGTTCCCGAACATTGGGATATATTGAGTGAGATATAGAACCGATTTAAATTGTGTTCGGTTTACGGTTCGGTCGGTAAGGACGAATCGAACGGTAATAAAGCCCACACCATAATTGTTTTCTCCCTAAACCGCGTCAAATTAGATTCAACAATTCTCCAGAAGATTCAACGGTGGCCATGAGGAGAGAGTGGGTTTTTAGGAATTCGGAGATTCAAATGGCGAGGTCTTTGCTTGGTAAAGGATGAAGGAAACTGAGGCGACGATTCCGATGGAACTCCCTGTTGGGATTGTCAAAATCCATGTCCAACTCTATATTCTCATATTAATACGATATTTTCCATTTTGGGTCTAATTGACAAGTCCGCATGGATTTACTTTTGGTTTCCTTTCCATAAGGCCTCGTACTATTAGAGTTGTACCTCTCTTTATATATTAGACTCTCCTTGTCTAATTCTCCAATATGGGACTTAGTTTGTTATCTCACATTCTCCCCCTCAAACTAAGGATCACATTCCTCTCATGTCCTACAACTGACTTCCAGGATCTTTTTGACTTGGTCTCTGCCACACACACCTCACATTCCCAACTCGAAGGATACCCACTCATCTCTCGAAGGGTATTTTGGTCTTCTTGCAGATTTCTCGTCAAACCGCTCTGATACCAATTGTTGGGATTGTCAAAGCCCATGTCCAACTCTATATTCTCATATCAGTACGATATTGTCCACTTTGGGCCTAATTGACAAGCCCGCATGGATTTACTTTTGGTTTCCTTTCCAAAAGGCCTCGTACTATTAGAGTTGGACATCTCTTTATATATTAGACTCTCCTTATCTAATTCTCCAATGTGGGACTTAGTTTGTTATCTCACACTCCCGGCGGTGGCGATTCCGATGAGACGCACGAGATGCAATCGGTGAGTCGGTGGAGCTCTCTGCATGAAAGACCTTACAGAAAGAAAGAGATAAAGCTAAACCCACTTGTACTTCCTTATGACGGCCATTCCTTAGGACGGCCAGAAAAAAAAAACACACACAAAGAAGCTTCTGAAACGTATTAGGAGGGTAGGAGAAGATTCCTCATATATAATTTTAGTAACATGGCGGATGATCTTGCTTGGCTACCAACACAAGATGGCGTCTACACTTCGAAGTCTGGATACGCAGTGACAAGGATCAATTCCAAAACGTTGGATCAGACTTTCAACGGGAAGGCTTGGGTATGGAATGTCAAGACCTCACCGAAAATAAAGTACCTCCTCTGGAAAATAAACAACAGAGCTTTGTCAGTGGGAGAAAACCTTGAAGCGAGAGGCCTCAGTGGAGAATTTGTGTGCAAAAGGTGTGGCCAAACTGATAATGAACTCAACCTCTTCTCCCTATGCCCGTTTGCCGCGAGGGTCTGGGACAGTCTACCTGTTTTCTCCCCCTAAACAGGAGTTGTTACCTCACTGAATGAGCTTTCCCAAAACAATCAGCGCCTGACTGCACTCCCTCCGACGGGCCTCAATGCTGCAGCTCTTCATGTGTGGGTTATGTGGTACCTCTGGCACGCGCGAAACAAACTGGTGTTTGATTATTTGATAATTTCAGAACGGGATATCCTTACCTTAGCGGTCATGGAAGCCAGAGCTTGGCAAGAAGCCCAACAACGCATCATTAAACCGTTGGCTCAACTTCCTGGTAGTAAGTTGTCCCTCTCCAATTCCTTGCTCAACGAACCACAATGCTTTGTTGATGCAGCTTGGATGTCGGCAACTCAAAGGGGGGTTTCGGGTGAATCCTAAAGAACCCGATAACAGTTCGTCACGTTCCATGTCTTCAAACCGCAGCCATGTCGGCTCTGCGCTCATTGCAGAAGCTCTTGCGGTCAAAACTGTTCTTTCTGATGCGGCATTGTAGGAGCACTCTTCGGTCACCGTCTGGTCTGACTCGAAAACGCTCATATCGGCCTTATCTTCCAAAGAGAGGCATATCGACATACAAAGTATTTTCCATGACATCTCTGTCCTCTGCAGATCCTTTGTTTCTATCTCCTTTAAGCATGTTCCTAGACTTATGAACTCTGAAGGTGATGTTCTTGCAAAAGCTGCTTTGTATGTTCCCTGAACGTTGAGGGTTTTAAGTAATGAAGTATGGTTTGTTCAAAAAAAAGAAGCAGGTTTAGAGAGTTTCCTGGATTTATAATTGTAGTAAATATGCCTAACTAAATATATTATGTATGAGAGGCCCAACATTAATTGAGGTTTGTAGTTGTCAAAATAATAATAATAACTAGATTTTGACCCGCACAACCGCGCGGGTGTTTATTTTCGTTTATAGTTAGTTATATAAACATTTTGTTTTCACTTGTAAATTGGTATATATTATAATAATCACATATTTACGATATCTATAGTAAATGTTTTTCAAACATAATAATATTATATAATACGTTTTTTAATCAAATAGATTGTTTCAAATTTTCTATATTATACATGTTTTTCAAACATGTGTTTGTTTTCTCTTCTATATTTTATTGTTTGTTATATTAGTATTTCATTTTTAGATAAAGTAATATAAATAGAGTTTGATTAAATATTAGTATACTTTAATTTGCAAAGATAATATAAACTTCGAGTTTTTTTTTTGCTGAAAACTAAACTTATAGCTTCATAAATTAATATTATAAAACATTTTATTAAAAAATAATTTTTTAAACAATTTCTTTTTTTTAAAACAATAGAATTTTAAAAATTTACATCGAAATAAAATTTTCTAGTATATATAGCATGTAAATTTTGTTAGAGTATATAAATATTTCATATTACGAATCTGTGATTTTGTTAATATATTCTGAATGCATTTAACTATTATTGACATATTTTCTTATAAATAATAGAAAATTCATAAACTTATATCTATTGACATATTTTATGTGACCAAGTTGGAAGGTATGGGGTAATTTACCAAAACCAAATTGTTAAACATATCTTTGTTATGTCTTCGATTTTTGCGCTGGCAATTTGAGTTGTCTCCCCAAATATAATAATGATAAGATTACTAGAGAGATAATGTAACATGACTTTCTAATAATAGTTCATTTTAAAAAAAAAAATCACACATGAACTCAAGTCATGACTTCTATTTTAATATATAAGATGTAAAACTACACTGTTTCGATGGCAGTGGCATTATGATGTAATTTTTGTGGAAAACTCAGGATTAAGTACTATTTGTACTTCAGTCTTAATAAATTAGATAATAACTGAGGTTTGTGTACTTTGGTTAGCAACTCCACTATGTCAATGTATTTAATTTCTACTTTGGTTAGCAACTCCAATATGTCAAAGTTTGGTAGAGAAAAGTTTGGTCACAATGACCTCGGTTTATGTGAATGTATAACAATGAATCAAACCAGGCGAGTTTACTTTTGGAATTTTTTTAGAAAAACCTGTTGTTTTAGATTGTGTGCGTAGTCAGATTCTGGCTTAGCGGCAACTAACGGTTTTGATATCTGCATACTTGAAACACACAAAGAGATAGCAAAAACATACCTAATATTATTCCACATTAGGTATAGACTCGTGCGATGTACAGATTTTGATTGATATTGTAATTTTATCCCAATTATAAAAAATATATTATTGCAATTGTAATACCTTTGCTGTTTGCATATATTTTGTGAACTTTTTTAAGGAACAAAAAATTATTTTCCACGTAAGTTTGGTTGGTATTTACGTTTCATTAATCATAGTGTGTATATATATAGTTATTAACAACTTTGTATTTAGACCTAGAAAAAAGTTAAGCCCGAAACTTCAAAGCCAACCTCAACACGTAAAACTTGTGAATTAGAATGAAATACAATAATTTGAAAAGTTAAATTAAGCTTATCAAGTAGATAAAAATGTAATTCAAAATTCGTTTTTATTATCTTAATATATATATATATATATATCTTTAATCATGAGATATTCTAACACATCTTACAATATTAAAAAATTACTATCAAATTTTTATTTACAATCATCATTTGTTTAGGATTTAAGAAAAGGAAAATTAGTAGTAAATAAATTATTTTACAAATTGTTTTGTTTGTTTAGGATTTGCAAAAAGTAAAACTACAATCAAACAATATTTACTTGTTATTATTAAATAAATTTTTTTTTTCAAAATTCATTTTATTATCTTAGTATATACATTTTTAATTATAAGATATTTTAACACATGTCACAATGTTAAAAAGAAAAGTCTTATCAAAATATTTTGCAATTATTTTTTTATTTAAAGAAAGGAAAATTACTATTAAATTTTGTTTTTGTTATTATCTTAGTATATATATTTTTCATTATAAGATAATTTAACACATGTCACAATCTTAAATATATAATTATCATGTGTCACAACCGTGTTAATTAGTAACTTTGAAAATTATTATCAAATTATCTTTTACAATTATCATGTCTTTAGGATTTTAGAGAAAAATAATTAGTATTAAATAAATTACTTTACAAACCTTTTTTAATATTTTTAAAAAAAAATTACAATTAAAAACACTCTTTACTTTTTACTATTATATGAAATTCATTTTTTTCAAATTCGTTTTTTATTATCTGAATATATATATATATCTTTAATCATGAGATATTCTAACACATCTCACAATATTAAAAGGAAAATTACTATCGAATAATATTTTACAATCATCTTTTATTTAGGATTTAAGAAAATGAAAATTACTATTGAATAAATTAATTTACAATTTTGTTGGTTAGGATTTGTAAAATGTAAAACTACAATTAAACAATCTTTACTTTTTATTATTAAATAAAAACTGTTTTTTGCAAAATTTGTTTTATTATCTTAGTATATATATTTTTTTTTTAATTATAAGATATTTTAACACATGTCACAATGTTAAAAAGAAAATTATTATCAAATAATATTTTGTAATTATTTTTGTTTAGGATTTAAAAATGGAAAATTACTATTAGATAATATTTATAATAACTTTTTAACTAATTTTGTTTTTGTTATTATCTTAGTATATATTTTTTTAATTATAAGATAATTTAACACATGTCATAATCTTAGATATGTAATTGTCACGTATCACAATCATGTTAATTACTAACTTTGAAGAGCCAAGCTTTATATAATAAGATATCGCTGAAGAGGATTCTAACCTCATGGCACGCAATTATCTAGGGATTAAGTGGAATAGGGACTAGAGATATTTAATTCAATTATGATACTGAATGTTGATCATTTTTCGTGCTTAGTAGACCAACTTGGTTGATCGGGTTGCCTCAATGAAACAGAAAGATGGTTTAGTGTAGTGCTTGAGCTACTCATGCATGGAGATTTGAAGCTAGGGAAGATGGTTGCTATGTTACTAATGGAGAAAGAGAAAATGATCCATTGATTATGTTCATCTCTCAGAACATTTATGAAGTGGATGGTTTATGGAAAGAAGCAGAAGAAACGAGAGAAGCCATTAATACAATTAGACATGAAGCAACGGTGCTGCAAATGAATGAGATTATGATCTTGCAAAAGTTAGGTGCTAACAGGTTGACCCGGTTTTCTATTAAATTGAAACCAGTACATTGCTAAAGAAGGCCAAATTGGAGTTGTTAATTTTTATTCATTCACTTTTGCAGAGGAATTGGAACTTTGTAACATTATTGCAGAGGAAATTTTATAGATGTTATAGATTGAAGAGTGATTTACCATGCTTTTGAATTGTAAAGGTAAGATTAAAAACAAAATCATGAGACTCTGTTGTTCAAAAAAAAGTCATAAGACTCTTGTGGGGATATGATGAGATCATTTGTAAAAGAAAGAGATGTACAAAAGGCATCGTATTATCTATCTGACAATCCACTGGCGTGAACGTAGTAACCAAATCAGTATCGGCTCCACCTGTCGTTCACAGACACCCGTATCCGTTTCTAAAGAGAATCAAGAATGTATATAATTTTGTTTATTACATTTTCGCAACTGTGGTGTTTTTTACACATGTTTTTCTCAATATATAACTATTACACAGAATTGGAAATAATTCCCTTTACATGAAACACGAGATTATGCTCAACAGTTTTTGTTTTTTCCCTTTTAACAATGTTGTTAACAACGGATTGTGCTAAATAGTTTCTCTTAAGGGTTGTATTCTTTAGGTTGTTGTTTAGGTTCAAATGGTGTTTTTTAGGTTTTTGATTTTTTTGTTAATAAACTCAAAAGTTTATTCGACCATTTTATCTGTAGGATCGATTCCGATCAGATTACATTCAATATCCAAAATTATTTATTTTTTAAAAAAATATCTGAAAACTTCAAAACCCCTATAAAAACTATAAAAATTACATTCAATAGCCAAACAAAAAAACTCTCTAAACTTCTCAAGATATCTAAATTAACTAACAATTTATAAACGTATTAGTAAATGTAAATGACTTTAAATTATTGGATACTCGTTTGTTTTTTAGTTAGTATTAAGTACCTAAATACTAATCTTAAATTTGATGCGATAAACTGTTAAAATCAAATCCGATCGAAGGGTTTTTGAGTTCAATTTAAGGTTTAGTTTTCGTTTGCATCTCCTAATTCTACTTCACACGATCCATAATAAACTTAAATTTACAGAATTTTCTCAAAATAGATGTGAAATACAACAACATAAATACGTAAAAGTTTGTTAAAACAAAAGAAAATTATAGAAAAAATCCGAGAGAAAAAGTTCAAAAAAAAAATCCGAGAGAAAGAAAATAGACCCAAAAAAAAGACTCACACATACCAAGAAGAATATTGGAATCATCTTGTTTCAAAAAAAAAAAACAGCCGTAATTAATTAATTAACTACAACATTTTAACCAAAAAAAACCCTTGATTAAACAAACTTTTAGTAATCAGGCATTGACTGACTAATCTTCCCTTCTTCCTCTTCAGCCATCTTCTTCTCAGTAATCCTCAACCAAACACAAACACCACTAAAACTAACCACCAAACTCGCGACACCACTCCCAAGCCCTATCCCCACGATCGCCATCACCGATAGCCCTTTACTCTTCCCCATCCCCTGCAACGGATACCCATACAACCCTCTGTTCCCAACGAACGAGCTCGCGTTAAACCTCGGAAAACTCCCCGTCCTGTTCGACAAGTACGTCGGAATCTGCCCTGAGAGTCTGTTGTTCGAGACGTCAAACGCCGACAGCCTCGCCAGGAGCCCTAGCTGCTGAGGGATCGGACCGGAGAGAAGGTTGTCGTGTAGGTCGATGACGTTTAGGTACGCGCAGAGAGCTAGCTGCGGAGGGATTTCGCCGGAGAGACGGTTTGAGGAGAGGTTGAGGACGGCGAGGTTTACGAGGAACTGAAACTCCGGCGGGATGTCGCCGGAGATTTGGTTGGAGGATAGATCTAGTGACTGGAGGTTTGTGCAGTTTGAGAGGAAGGGAGAGATGGAGCCGCGGAGGGAGAGGTTGGTGAGGGAGAGTTTGTAGATTCTGCCGTTGTTACACGTGGCGCCTGGGAGGTAGGAGGTGAAGCCGGAGCAAGGGTTGGAGAAGACGTTGTCTGTCCAGTTACGGAGATTACGAGCTGGATCTTGTAAGTTTTGTCGGAGATTCTTTAAACACGCCTCGTCGTTTGGATCAGCGGAAGTCAAACGTCGTGCCGTTTCGAAGGTTAGTGAAAGGAGAAAGAGTAACCGGTAGCTAAACCGGTGGCTCCTCGCCATCGATTATCTTCAGAGAGATTTCACGAAGGTGGAAGAAAATAGTGGAGTTTCCATGTGACTGTCAACGGAAAAGGAAACGGTTACAGAACATTTGTACTTGAGAAAGTGAAAGTTTTGTGTTGTGTAATAATACGGCGCTTGTTAGCGTAGTGAGCGTTGGATAGAGGTGGAACTTAAATGGGGGATTAAATTGAATTGATTGTATTGGGGCTGGATGTAATTTAATTATACATTTATACTGCTGTTTTCAGCTTTAATTATTCTTTAAATGTATATACCAAACCCACACTCATGCTTAGCATCTTTAATCATGCTATCCAATATTTTTAAAAACATTTTTAGCTTCAAAGTAAACTATTGAATACTGCATTTGTATTGTATACATCGCATGATAGATTAATCTAATCAAAATGGGTTTAAAATGGAATCATGAGTCCCATTTACTTTTCCCCTTTTTAGATTTCGGGGTCCAGTAATTTGAACGCAAGTGTTCGTAGTATTGAGAGGTCAAACAAGCCAGAGCCAAACCCTCATCTAACACTGAATGTGTTATTAAAGTTATCAAAATACAATAAAATGCAAAATATTAAAAATTACTTGTGTTGAGATATTTCATTACCAAAATATAATAAAATGCAAAAAAGATTAAAAATGGCTTCTGTTGAGTTATTTCATCATGGTGTTTTTTTTTCTGTTTTAATAGTATTTTATTTGTGATACTTTGATACAGAGTTAAAAATTTGAGATTTTGAGATTTTTGTAATCAGATACTATGTTTACATCATTAAGTTGAAAGTTGCATGTTGAGGTTTCCACTGAAAGTACTTTAAGTAGCTATTTTCTTAAAAAAAAAGGGTGAGATGATCTTTGGGACATCTCCAACCATAACACCAAATTTGATGTTGAAATTACATCAATTTGGTGTTTTGGTGTCAAATATTCGGTGTGAACTCCAACCATGACACCAAATATTACACCAAAAATAATATTATGTATTATTTTATGTTTTAAGTTTTGAATCATTTTATAACCTGATTATTTTTAATTGATAAATAATTACTTTATCCACTTCAATATTATGTTTGTTAACTTTTTTATAATTATATATATATATATATAATTTACTTACATTTATATTGGTTTAACAATATTATAATTTTTATATATTTATTTTATATAAAATATTAATTATATTCAGAAATATATTACAAAGGTATTAATTATGTATTAATTATTCACTAAAATTTCTATGATATTGTATTTTAAAAGTAAAATAAAATAAATGACAATAAACATTTCATGTTTTTACTTGAAAATAAAATTAAAAAGTGTAATTACGTAAAAGTAACTTTAAAATATAAATAATACAATATATTTATATTTAGTTACAAATTTGAACTAATTAATAATAATAGTTGAAATATTTTATTAAATGAAACATAATAAAATATGTATATAAAATATTTGGTGTGATGAATAGTGTTACATCAAATTTGGTGTAACACTATTCTTCCTACACCAAATTTGATGGGATAATGTTATTTTTAGTGTTTTATTGGAAATGAAATTACACCAAATTTGGTGTTTTGGTGTCCCATTGGAATTGGTCTAGTGCTTTACACTATTTCACTTTTCAGTAGCACGATCATATTAAATGCTAAATGATATGTGAAAATCTTGTTGAGAAACTAGTTGTACATTTAGTGGTTGACGTTTACAACAATATATTTTTTGTTTTTTTGTAACACTACAACAATATAATTATAGACATAGTTAATTGGTGTGTATATATAAACCACTAGACGTGGGTTTTCCCATTTTCAACTTTTGCAAAGCCCAAAGAAAAAGCAAGTCGGACATCTGAGATCTTGGGCCTCACTGTTTTTAGTGGCTACTGGAATTTAATCTCCCTACTAAAAATTTTCATTTCTTATTGCAAATTGTCAATGAAATTCAACTTCATATCTCTGTCAACTGGCATATGTATTTAGTGTTTTGCTTAGTTTTCAATCTGCTCTCTCAAAAGTGACATCTTGTGAGTAGTTGGAAAGTTATGTATTTACTAATATTTACTAATACGTGTACCATGTGATGTAATCAATGGAAATAAGAAAGGGGCATTGCATGCATGCTCATTTTTTGTTTGATAAAAATGCATGCATGCTCTTCTAATACATCTCCAATAACGATAACATAAGTTAACAATCCTGTCCTCTCCTTAATTCATTTGTCTTCTGTTCATGATATCATGTCTCAACTCCATGAGTGATGGTCGAATATATAATTCGCAAGTATATATATCAATACTTTACTTTTAAAAAATCGATTCATCAATTTTGATCACTAAAAAAGCATGTTCTCACGAAACAAATTTTTTTCTTTCTCAGCATCGCCTCAGGATTCATCATCACAATCAATTAGAGATGAGTTAAAGATGGACATGATGTCTCCATAATAGAACTGTGGTACCGATATTGCTACCTTAATTTGCTCTCACCAGTCACCATATCAGTTATCAAAACGGTTGGCTAGATCATCCTAGTTCTTGAACTCTTTTATAATGAAATGGACAAAAGCAGGGAAGAGACGAGATAAGAAATATGACCATTTTTCTTATTGCGCTGAGAAAAGTGTTCAAGTGATGTAGAAGTTGACGATGATAAAGAGATGTCTAAAGAGCTGTGTCGAATTTGAGATATTTAGGGAATAGACATGTTTTTTTTAAAGAATTTAAGTAAAACGAAATCATAATTTGAACGCTTATATTTTCTGAAACCAAAATCAATGTCTATGTTGTGCCTAAATCCGGTCCTGCAAAGAAGAATAGTTTTAAGTATCTGTTTTTTACAAAGCTTTTTGTATTAAAGATGTTTTTTGTTAGAGAAATTTGTTTTGATTCATTGAGCATCTTATTAAATTTAACTATTTATTATCTTCTAATTTTCTTTTATGTGTGTTTAAAAGCGTGAATATATCATGCGTTAATAAAGCATCTTATCATGAACCAAAAAGGGTACTTAAATTATTGTATTTGTCTATTTCTTGATTTTCCATCTGTCGTCAAACTACAAGATCATGTAAAGGCTCCAAAATTCTCGCAAGTAAAATATCTCAAGTTGTATAAAGATCAAAATAAGATTTTTATTTACACTTTTTATCTTTCTTTTCTTCTTATAAAGCGAAAAGACCAAAAGAGACTGCCAGTAAAATTACAAAAGAAAAATCTCAAACAAAAGAGAGAGATAGGTTCTTTAGCAGTTGCTGTCCAACTGTTGGTGTATGTATTCTGGTTCCGTTTATTCTGTATAAGCGTATGAACTACATTTGTTCTTTTCGTATAAACTTTTTCGTTTGTTTTATTTCACGTTATGGCCCTTTCTCCCTTAATGCATACGAAACCCTAACTGTATATTACAACCATACAACTTTAAGCCAGAAAAGTATAACAAATGTTACGAATAGAAACATTTAAAAAAAAAAGCATATATATCAAAGATTTGTTTATGACCTAAAGTTAGCTAATGTTTACAATTAAGCCGACTCAAGGTCTAATCGTGGAAGACAGACATTTGGGTTGCAAAAAGTAGTGAAAAGACTATGGGGTATACATATAAAAGAACGTTATGTGTCAATACGTGTCCTAATGTACACCGTAATCTCTATTTATCTAAATCTAATAATGCAGCAACTTTAATCAAACAGTTTAGACTACATAATTTAGACTACATAATTTTAAATGTAGTTCTGTATTTATTGATTTTATCATGTCTCCCTATTTCGTGAAAGGTTAGAGAGAGCCTAAAACTTCCACACCTACAATTTATATACGATATTATGCCTATTTCTTTTCCTTTTATTGGCTTAAGATGGACAAAAATACATCATATAAATCATGTTCGGTATCTACTTTTATTTACTGTTAGAATTACGAAGCTGAAAATGAAAAGAATTAAACATATGCATTAAGAAAAGACTAAAACTAATCCATATACGTCACTAAAGGTGATTAGGACTGCCGAGAAGATAGTCGACCGTGAATTTGATGACCTCCCTAGCAAGAGAAAATATAACTTAAGGACAAAGTTCTCCTCCTCTGTAATTTAGACCGCAAGTTTATAAATGAGGATCCATATACCACCTATTTTGAGCCGCACGCGTCACTTAATCAAGAAAGCTAGCTGTTGAATCTCACGTAAAACCAACTAAATGTTTTTCTTGAGTGAATTTTTAGATTTTCATGCTTGAAATATTGTTAATTATGTTGACATAGGTCATTTGTTCTTCTGACGAAGAATCAAAATCATCTCATATGAATGATGATCAAGATTTGACGGCACCTTTTTGCGATTGAAGAGTTTTATATTACTTCAAATGTTTTAAATCATTAACATCTAAATCATTTGTGATATACTTCTTCAAAATCTCAATCAATACTATTAAAAGAGAACTACAAAAAAGAAATAACTCTTAATTTTCTTAAAAAATTACGATAGAATGCCATTGTAATTAAACACTCTAATTTTATTCTTATATGAGCTTTGATATTGGTTTAAGGTCTACTAATTTTAAATCAAACATAAATTGCCCAAAATCAAAATGTCTAATTCAATTTTAAAAATGACATTTGTTAATAAAATTTACTAGAGCTCTTATTCTTTTGTGAATTTTTAATCGTTCTATCTAAATAATTTATTTATAAAAAAATATCTATAAAATCTAATTTTAAATTACAACTTCATTCAAAAAATTTATAGTACAATTTAATAAAATACACATAAACACAATCTAAACAAGAAACTCTAATATTTTAATCCTAATTGTTTAGTTTACTAAGTAAAAAAAGTACAATATCAAAAAAATACAATTTGATAGTTAGAAAAAAGACACTACACAAAATAAACAAAATACACAGATATTATAACTCAATAACTTATGAAACATAAATATGAATGTTTTTTACAACTAATATAAATATATATTCTTACAAAATATACATCCGCGCGCCGCGCGGGTTAGAAACTAGTGAATACATTAAAACTATATTTCAACAAAAATTACTAAAAGAAAGACTGAAAAAAGAACCAGTTGAATGAAAAAGGTTCTCGACACATTCTGCCAGTTACCCTTTTCTTTGTCAAAAAGTTTAAACACGACAAGATAATTAATTCTATAATCAAAAGAAAAACAGATTAAAGAAAACGATACTTAATATGTTAACGTTACTACAACAGATCCATGCAGTTTCTTAAAAAGCTTTTTTACAAAGGTGTTCTCGTTTCGATACATCACACGAATCTCAAACTATACCATGATATTTGTTATACCCGACGGATCCTGCTGGACCGTAACAACAGTACTGTTATATATCGTAAGACCACGTAACACAGTTCGAGCTACGTTCGGTCTGACGCAACATCAAAACTCTGATGTTCAACAACGTATCGTAGAGCATACGGTGCTCCAAACGTAGACGATCATTCTCCATATTTATTCGTTGAGAATGGTAATAAACGTACCGAAGCTGGTTCGTCAGTTCCCGGTTCTCAAACTTGAGCTGGTTTAGCTGGATACTCATCTCTTCCAAGTGCTTTTGTTTCTTCACCCTTGACCGCTTAGCCGATTCCCGGTTGGATAACTTCCTTTTCTTTCTCCTCTCATCGGTACTGTCCATCGGGTCAACGTTTGAACTAGTCCGGTTTACCGAAGCAGGGCTTTGGTACTCATGAGCCAAGTCCGGTAATAGATCCGTTGAGGATGAGTCTAGGAACGAGAAGAGGTCTGAAATGTCCCATGAAGTGAACCCGGTTTCAGAAGCTGGGAAAGGGGTTGTTAGACCCGGTTCACGTGAGGAAACCGGAGAAATAGTTGACATCATGGTTTAATGTTGAACCAGAAAAATAAACGACAAGTAGAAAAAATAATCGTCTAAAATGTATGGGAGTGTGATTAAGAGGGGAAAAGGGAAGAATTGCATTGTTGGAGGTCCATATTTATATGGACGGGATATGGCACACACGAGGGTATTGTAGTCAGACTGCAGTTAAAGTAGAGAAAGACCAAAAGAGAAAATAAGTCGCATAGAGTGTTGGACTACGTGTCAACATTGTATTAGATGTAACTCAATTAATTTATAGAGGCAAACTTCATTTGCTCACTGAAACATTATATTTTCGCAACTTAATTATAACCATCAGATTAGCCATCTAATCAAGTGAATGGCCATTTGATGTGATCAACAAAACTTTACTAAATCCGGTTCGTGGAAGAGATAAGAAAACATGTCGATCGAAACAGATATCTGAATATCGATGTTCGTTAAGACTTTGGATAAATAACTTGAAACATTATCTTGACCAAAAAAAAAACTAGATCAAATGATGAATGTTCAACGTTGATCTAGATCTTATAGTTATATGAATCTATGGCTTGGTCTGTGAAGGTGATCTGAGATGTTCTAAAGAGAGATTTTCGTTTAACGAGCGGAGCAATGATGGGTTTTAGCTATTTAACAATGAGAGTTTCAAACAAATCAAATGGTTTGCACTTTCTAATATTGATTGGTAAAAACGTTTTTAAAATGATTCTTTCGTAGACAACTTCTAGTAATATTATTGAATTATACTTTTTATTTGCCATGTTCGTTATTTTTACAACATGTGCATCAGTGCATGTAACCTCGTTATCAAATTTATAAAGTATATGTTTTCTTGTTTTTGTTAAGATTCCTTTCTTTTCTGGTATATTTAACCGCAAATATAAGTAGTGAAATCTACATTTTGAGACTGAAGATAAAGTCATGGACCAGAAAAAATGAAAAAGTATCATATCTCAGAGTAATAAAGAAGATATGTACATTATGCCTGACATGCATGCATAACTTTGTTATTACAATCAAAATGGTGGATTATGGTAAGTGACATATAAAGTTGTTACTATAGTGGCAAAGACCTTGGATCTATCTAATTTTTACAAAGAGTTACCTTGGAATTTATATGATCATGGTATGTTTATTTGAATTTAAACTTTAGAATAGTTATTTATATTCAACAGATGTTACTACTTCTTCTTTTCATATAAAATTTAGACAAGTTAACAAATCTTCCCTCTGTCTCAATATGATACATATTTTAGATTTTTTCACATATATTAAAACATATAAAATACATACTTTTTGTGATTATTATTTTTTCATGATTTTAAACCAATAGGAAGCCAATAAATACAATTTGTTTTAAGTTTGTAATTAATCATTATTATTTGATAAAATATATTAGAAATATAAAAATGTATTTTCTTAAAACGTTTTTTTTTTAAATATGTAACTTTGTGAAACGGATAAAGTAGATTTGAAAAATATAATGTTGCAAGTCTTACTTTTCTATACTGACCATGTAATGATTTGTATTTCAAACTTTAGTATCAAAGGACTCTAACTACATTTAAGGTTGTGCGCGTAGTTGCTTAATGGCTGAGGAACTATGATAGTACCCATTTATCACTTGATTAGTATCAAGATTCTCGCTGATTGTTAGTTTCAAAAAGGATATGAGAGAGGGCAACACTGCTTAAGAAAAAAAAAATTCATCTTAGAACATCTCCAATGTAATACTCAATTTTTTCCTCCAAAATGGAGTAAAAGTGAATATGGAGTAGAAATGCTCCATCCATACTTCATATCCCACTCCATAATGGAGTAATGAACAAACAAAAAATAGATTACTCCATTTATGGAGTAAACTCTATTATGGAGTGGAAAATAGAGTTGGGTTGCAGTGTTTTTTACTCCATATTTTCTTTTACTCCATTTTGGAGTAAAAATTGGAGTTGGGTTGGAGATGCCCTTAGAGCAGGATTAACGCAAAGGGTGCTTATTTTTAAAAATATTTTTTTTAAAATTTTCGTCCTATTTAAAAAAATATAAAAATTAAAAAGACGAATCGCAGGCCGCCACGTGTCAGTGGAGCCCGCGCACAGTATAAGCAACAAGCAAAAGAAGACACTTGTTTAGGACCAAAAAGCGTCGGTTGTTGGGCATTTAGTGGACCTCTGCGAGGTAAACAACCCTCTTTTCTCTGCGTTGATCATGCCCTTAGGTGGTGTATTCAATCTTAAATTTAAGATTATTTGATTTTTAATGAGATTTTAGATGATTTTAGTCAATAGTAGAGATTAAAATGAATTTTGTTAAACTATTCTAGAATATCACCTAAAACTATGAGATTTAAGTTTTAATTTTTTAACTAAGAAACTCTATCCAAACATTCTAAATCAGTTAAAAACTTTAAAATTTCATAATTTAAAATATTTTCAATAACAATGAATTTCAAAGTAATTTAAGAAATGTCAAATTCAATTACAGTTGATTTTAAATAAATTTTTAAAATTCATATTTGAATAACAGTAAATTTGTCATTTTAATACAAATCACCTTAAATTCTCAGTTAAATACATCTCCAAGAAATTCAGTAAAAATTAAAAGCATGCCTTAATTATCAAACTCGTCAAGTTTGTTGGAAATCATGTTCATGTGCAATACCACTTTAACTTTTATTCTATTTTAAAAGTTGAAATAAACTATTTGTAACCAAAAGTTACGACTTCCTTTATACGATAAAGAATGGAAAAGTTGACAAACAAAACTCCAATTTATGAAAATAAACTAAAATAATTTCTAATTCATAACGATTGATTAAAATACTACCTTTTCGTCTAAACGTAAAAAAACATTAAACTTTTGTCTTTATCTATGTCAATTTAACACATTGAACTTTAAAACAACATTATTTAGGAGCAATAATCATCTCTAATATAATCGATGTAATTCCTTCTTTAAGCTATATATTTATATCTTCTACTCCAAATTCTTCATCCAAAATAATGTATTCATCTACTTCTTAATCTCAAACAATGAAGATGCATAAGGCTAAACTAATAACACTGCAATATAATACTAATGAGAAGTTATATCAAATGTGGAAATGGATGCTGAAACTTGTTGTCATATTAAATGAAATTTCAATGTTTGATATATTTATAAGAGAGGGAAATACAGTAAAACCTCTATAAATTAATAATGTTGGGACTTTGAAATTTTATTAATTTATAGAGATATTAATTTATGAAAGTTTTCTTATTTAGATTTTTTTTTTATTTTTATTTATTAAATAAAAAGTATTTGATTGTAGCATATGTATATTATTTCAATTTTAGAATTTTGACTTTTATATTGTTTTATTATCTTATTTGGTGTATATTTTTATATTTTATAGAATTGTTACATGGTTTTCGATGTAATTTAACTTAATATTATCAAAATATATTGAAATGTTTGAAAAATAAAAGTATTTTTTAGAGTAAATATAAATCCCCTAACTAAATATTATCAAAATATACTTAAATGTTTTAAAAAATAAGAGTATTTTTATAGTAAATATAAAACCAACAATAGAATGTTAGATTGTACTTATATAAAATTATATATAGCTAGATTATTAATTTATGATTTTAGTGGGACCATATATTTACATGGCAGATTTAAAAATATTATTATCTTATTATTTTATCAATTTGTGTCATATTTTACACTGGCCCAAGTTGGAACCAGTAAAATTTATTAATTTATAAAGATTATTAATTTATCGAGTATTAATTTATAGAGATTCTATCGTATATGGATTTAGATATTTGGGCAGAGTATAAGTTGATTACGTTAGGAACGTATAATAGAATTTTGTAAACATATGTTAACGAGGTTATAGCAAATTAAGATGGAATGGTTAAGCCAAAGAAAGTACGTGGTTTATTCATGTTAGATGATAATTGTATATTAAAGTGATTTTTTGAAGAATTGAGTCTTTTTAATGAAATTTGAAAATTAGAGACTTCTTTGACAATTTTTATTATATCAAATGAATTATTTTAATTGAATTTTTTTGACAGGTTTTCTTTTATTATATTGACGTCTATTGACACCAGTAAAAAAATTTACAACGGTTGACTGTTTATATTGTTAAATTGGTTTAATTAATGAATATCTATTATATATTCCTATGTTTTACTCTTTTTTAAGGGGTCCACGTCAACGTCAGGTCATAATGTTTACGTGGACAGATCTGAATTGGGCCTGCAATGTTTGTGTTTTATTTCTCTTATTTTTAGGCCTTATTTAAATTTTTCTGGTCCGGTTACGCTACTCAGTGACCTAAAATGTTGTTTTCTCCACGGCGACTCTTGGTTTTCTTCGTTTCCTCAAATCACAAACAGCCGGCGTAAATGGTTGTCTTCTCCATCTAATCAACACTGTAAACTTATTTTCTGAGATATGGCTAACGATTCAATCTTCCACTCTGATTTTTAGACTGGATGTTCCTCTTCCACTTATCAAGTTTGGATGCTTCGTTTCTTAGAGGGTATGAACATCAACCTCACACTTAAGTTTATTGTATTCCGTCCACCGTCTAAGAGCAGAACAACCTCTGTTTTCTCTGGGACAGCTTCTTATTTAAGAGGAATATCAGCGCGTGAGGAGAGAAGAAATAGACTTGGGATGATGGGTAATACGCATAAGAGCTATGCAACCATTTTAGATATGAAGAAAATATCCATAGCCGGAGCTTCAGTTATTAATGGCCACGGAAGGAAATCATTTGGAGACGGAGGCGGGAAGACATTACTTGGCGGTGGTGGTGGTCGGAGTTGCTTTATTTAACAAGCGCCTGCACCTCCTCTCAACTTCTCATTGACACCGAGCGGGTCAGTTTATCAACAGCATAAGAAAAGGTCCTCTTGGTGCACATATCAAACGTGTCATTGAACTCCTATTTGAGGTTTTGGTTTCCTTATTTCACCTTTTGTCTGCAATAATGTTATATCATTCATATATGTGAAGTTGAATTTGGTTTGGTACTTGCAGACAACGCAAGCCTTTACACCCGAGCAAATAAATGGTTATATTACTATTCTTTCTAACAAGACTGTTTTTTGATGGTTTGAGGAACATAGTGTGATGGGAGAAGGTTCTTACAATGTATAAACTCTACGTTTGATTAACGTTTCTTTCTTTTTTTTGAACAACAACCCTGCTGTTGTGACAGGCTAAGCACGGTCAAATATCCTTATGGGATTGCATTTGTTGATCTGAAAGTAGCTTACCCGAATGGCATGGAGGATTTGCAGGTTTGCTTTTATTTTATATAGTTTGGTCACCTTAGATCCAGTTGGTTTTGTTTGGACAAGAAATTATCTCAAGTTGTATTTATGTATAAGGCTTGGTTCTTGATTGTGTGTTGTATTGTGTATGCTCTGAAGCTTCAACAAAGATATGGTTCCTATCAAGCGCTAATTGACAAAAGAATATGGTTGATCACAATTTTAAATTTCTGCTCCACGACATAGACATCCCGAACGACATGCTTGACGTTTAGAATGAGGTGCTTAAGATTTGTCTGGAGCCAGTGATGAACACTGCGCAATAAACCAATACATTGCACAGATTCAAGGTATACAGAATAAACCAATACATTAGAAGAAGAAACAAGATATCAGCAAGAGAACAAAACTCATCAACATCCATCTTCCCGAACTCTTCTATATCCTCAATGGCAGCACTTCCCATATCAAATTTTGGGTCAGATATAAGTCAATGAAATTTCTCTGCGCATCTCATCATTGCAACACATAGATCCAGTCTGTAGAGGATATCCTCGATAAGATAGAAGGGTAAGGTATCCTTGATCAAAAGATGAAACAAAATACTACCAAAATTACAACTTTTTCTATTCTATGTTTTTATTTATGTGAATATTTTCGTTTCGTTCAATGATTGTGTTGTACTAATGATCCTAAGATTGTAAAATTGACAACAAATTCTAGCATGGCATACACAACAAAAAAAAAAAACAAGAAACTACATTTTCATTACTCAATACAAAAATAATATTTAAAAAACAATCTTAGACAAAAATTATAATAACGGTTACCCAATTAACAACCTTATTTTCAACCAAAGGCAAAAAACCCATTATTTCTTGGTTTTCTCAAGCATGCATGTTCCATTTGTATTTTATTTGTTATTAAATTTTTATATTTATGTATCAATTTAGTAAAACTAAAAAATAAAAATAGACTGAAGTTTTAAATTATTTTAAAAATATCCTACACTAAGGAAAAGTTTAATAATTGTTTGTTAATAATTTCAGAATAAACCAATCGACATGTTTTAATGATAATCTATATACTTAATCTTTTAATTTCTCCATTTAGTAAGACAAATTTATTAATTATTTTACATATGCTTATATTAAAAATATTAATATATAAATACCAAATAAAAATAAAAAAGCTAAATATTTATATAATAATAAGATAACTAATATCTATAATTAAATAATGCATTTTTATCAGGAACAAATCTTTCCAGTGTATTATATATTTACTACATTGTAGTACAATTTTTAGTTAATAATATTACAAAACAAATTTGATTTTTTACCATATTATTTTACAATGTAATTATTCATTTTTAATGTAGATTATCTAAAAACAATATATGAAATCTAAAATTCAAAAACCAAAAAAAAAAATCTAAAATATAAACATTCAAAAAAAGTAATACCAGATAATTAAACATAATTAACTGTAGCAAAAAATATTAAACAGCACACTTCTATCAATCTCCCCCTCAGGTTTACTTTCTCCTTTTAATAGTAGCTTTAATCAAATTTATTAATCAAATATGATGAGTCATAAAATATCAAGCTCACCTAAAAAATACATATAGACGAGAATGAAACGAAAAATAAAACATTCAGAGATGTTAGATTATACAACAAATGATTTGGCATTGTAAAATATAAAGTTAGGAAAGAAGAGCGTTTTCAAACCACTACGACCAAATGAAAATAACAAAATAATGATAAATTAGTAACGTCACCACCTGTTAAAGAACCAAAGATAATTAAACATAATTAACTGTAGCAAAAAAATATAAATAATTAAAAATAAATAACTTCCTAAACAACCAGGCAAAATTACTTCAGAAAAATTCTAACAAAACGCAAACCACCTCCAAACATATACACTAAGCTAAAATTAGTTAAACATATCGGCATCCAACACATGATTATCAACGCAATACAGAAGCAACAACAAATCAACACATGAACGTTATACGATTTAAATATGCCATGTCAGATGATGAATAAAGATCCAATATACAGACATAGAACTATTCCATATGACACTCACTGCCAACAACAACAATATCCAAAAAAAATATTTACAACTCCTTATATATCATATCACAGACGTACTGTGTTAAGCGGAAACAGTCGACATAATACATGTCGACAACCACTATTATCTTAATAACCATATAAGTTAAAAATATATATATATATATATATCCGATATATACATAACCAAACCCAAAACAATTATCGAAAACATATAGTCCCACCTCCCCAAAATTTGTAAAATTACAAAATAAAAACTTAATAACAAAACTTCCTAATGCAAATATATAATACAAAAATAACAACACAATTTACAAAATTCTTAACGTATGCTAAAGTATATCCCGGGCGGGCCGACCCTAGTTTGATATATACTTGTGTTTGGATGAACATATAAGATTTAAATGGTTTGTTTGTGAATTAGAATTTATCTTGATTTTTGTTTGTTAGAATTTTTTCTTGTTTTTCCTTAAACCATCTCCAATCTAACTCTAGAATAAAAAGAAAACAACATTTTACTATATCATAAAGTAACTCTATTATAAAAAGGATTCCATTGGAGTATCTACCTATATAATAGAATTGGTCCATTTTAGAAAAACATAAGAAAAAATAGAATTGCATTGGAAAGTTCTGACCAATAGTTATGAATCCGTTTAGCAAAAAGAGAGAGAGAGAAAAAACAAAGGTTTCAAACTCAGACAATGAACAAAAGAAAACAAACTGTAAGTAGAAGCAATTACTTTTTTTGCTGAGACAAAAGTATGATACAACAGTTTTACTTGTCGCAAAACAAAAATTAAAATACTGTGCTAGCCCATGTATTATTGGTGTCCTCGCTTCTCAGCCCATTTATTTCTTTCTAGGTCCCAGAGAAACGATCCATTAGTAATCCTGTTAAAGAAAAGGTTCATTGTGAAGTCTTCACACATATGACTGAAATGCTTATCTTATGCCACTGAGCCGTGACCGTGAGCGCATCTCGTGTTCTCAAAATTCTTACAGAGTGCTAGTCACGAATCTATTTCACATCCAAAAACTAGTTTAATGATGATTGTTCATACACATATATATTGCCCAAAGATCATTAATATAATATCATGTGGGACTTTTTAATAACTCCTTTTTTTTTTTGTTGAATAAATGTTAAATTTTATTAAAAAAACCCTTTGGGGCACTTTACAATGCAACCTTCCTAAAAACAGAGTTTAGAACAAAAACGACTTTTACAAAACTAACTTCTTCTCTAATTCATTCCCATTCTTATGGCAAACCAAAGTTGTAGACCTCCCTCCATCTCATTTCCCACAAATCTCTGAATAGAAGAGAACCTATTACGAATACTTCTATCAATGCTTCTCATCAAAATACTAGGAAGCAGAGGCTGATTGCCATGTCTTCTTTCATTTCTTTCCAGCCACAAACCATGAATGGTAGCCTGAAAAACGTACTTCAAGATAAACATTTTTACCGATCTCTGTCCTGTAGAAAGCAACCTCACAACATCTACCCAGACATTTGTAAACTCCACCCCCATAAGTCTCCGCACCAACACTTCCCAAACTTCACTAGAATATCTACATTCAAAATATAGATGATCTCTTGTTTCAATGCCTTCATCACATAACGAACATGAAACATCAAAATTCCCACCCCATCTCAGCATTCTTTCCCCAGTGGCTAGTCTGTTAAGCACCGCAAGCCAAGTGAGAAAAGCAAACTTTGGTGTGGCAAAGGTAAACCAGATTATCTTACTCCAATCACAATTCTCTCCTCTGGTTCTTAAAAGATCCCAAGTCGTTTTTGAAGAGAAATTACTTTTAAAGATATCCTCCTTCTGCTTCTAGAGGCCAATATCTTCATCACTAGAAACTTTATCTCTATGCATTGCAATCTCCTCCTCAATCACATTAAACACATGATCTCTATGCCATCTGCTACGATGTTGAAACATCGCATCCTCAACAGTCGCATCACTTATGGGTATGAAACGATCCATAAAGAAACATCTCAAACCTAACATTTCGAAAATACCACATTAATGAACCACTTTTACAAGCTACATAGGTAGAAAACTGTGTATGTGAGAAACCATATGCTGGACAGCTCAAGCCTACCATTTCAAAAATACTACAGTAGTGGACCACTTAGCTACATAGGTAGAAAACTGTTTATGTGAGAAACTATATGTTGGACCAAACCATAGACTCTAATACCATATTAGTAATAGATCTAATTCACACCCAAAAGCTAGTTCAAGAGTGGAGAATTGCCCATACACATATATATATATTACCAAAAAAGCATTAATATGATCGATGTGGGACTTTTTAATAAATACCTTTATAAATTAATAATGTTGAGACTACACTAAAACTATAACTTTTTCTTAATTTATAAAGATTATTAATTTATCGATATACAAACTGAACCAAAAACTCAATTTGGAACTATAAAATTATATTATTTTATAGAATTTTTAGTGTATATTAATTTATAGATTATTAATTTAAAGAGGTTATACACTTCAAAACTCAAAATAATATATTACAATTGAGAATGTACCATAAGTCTTCACAACCAAATTCACATTTCTATGTTTTTTAAGAGTAGAAACTAGTATAAATTTTAATTAGGCGCTAATTTAAACAATTTCATATTTTGATACGTAGTTAGATAAGTTATTACAAAATGATGAAAGAAAATCATATCATTAACTAAAAAACAAACATGCCAATATATATATAAATATATGGGCTATTTTATCTTCACGAATTTTTTTTCCGTTTAGTGGTTTAGATCGACATATGATATATTTGTACATTTATGTTTCTAACTTACTACTAGGTAATGATACGCGTTCTGCAACGAATGAGATATTTTATAAAATGTTTATTAATAAATTTTTAGAATTTTTTTAAATTGCGGCAAAGGATATGAATAATATATTTGGTTTGATCAATTCAAATATGGTACATATTTCTAAAATTTTGAAATGAAAATATTTATACATTTTTATATGGTGTAAAGTTTGATTTAAACGATATGAATATATACTAAGTGAAACTTAAAATTCATATGGTTTTATGATCATTTGTATACTGTTATAACAAAAAAATAATCATAAGTTACAAAATTTTCAATGTCAAAATTTAACAATTTTAGTAAGTTATAATAATTTACAAAATTAAAAATTAACGATATAATAAAAAAACTTATTTTTAATATATTTAATATGATATTTAATTTATTTTAATACTATAAAATTAAATAAAAATGATAGAGGATCTACACTTTGTTATTAATATTTATTATCGTTAATTGTCATATAGATTTTAATTACATTAGATAATTCTGTAATTTTTATTTAATAAAATAAGAAAGAATATTTTTATTGATTACTAATTAATGTTGTAGTATTTAAAGAAAAATATATAATATATCTGGATGAACCAACCAATTTCTTGAAGAATTTTAAAAATTATTCTGGTGATTACACATATTATAACTTATAAGTTGTAATATTTCTCAAATAATATATAAGAGAAAAAGTTTAAGATCTGCGCAGTCCTATAGTATTCTTGAATTTGAGCTGTTGAGATCTCCTAGTCAAAGAATTTTTGCTAAATTTTGTAGACTCTATTAACTAAGGA